ATGCTCAAGAAGGTCACTTTTGAGTTTCTGTTTCAGTTCACACTGCATAACACCACTTCTGTAATAATGTAACTTCTCATCTTATGTGCTGTACAGAAATTTTTGCTTTTTCTCCCCTAAGTCAAAACTATATTTACTGTTTTTAACAGAGGAGTCTGAATGCCCATCAGCAGAAACTGAGTGGGACTATGAAAACTATTTATATGGCTTCTCAGACTTAGTTGTGCTGAAATAAGCAGGTGTCAAAATTAACAGACTTACAATAGAGTTGTTTGAGTCAAAACTAGAAGCATTAGATAAGAGAATAAAATAATACCACCATGTGCACTACTTGGTCACTTTTCTTCTGGTTGAGAAGTTCCCTGAGCACTTCAAGTGAGTAAAAAGTAATGCTAGAATATGTAACATCCGAAGCCATTTTAAAGTTCCCTGCTTCTGGCACTGCTGAGTGCACAAAGCAATTGAGTGAGGGGAAGGCAGTGTTTTGGTGCATATGTGTGCATTAGTGTAGTGTGTGTATATTTATGAAACAAATACAGGGTTAGAAACTTGAAGTATAAGAAAGCTACAGCTGTATTTAAAGTGATATGCTAGTGCTAAGATGTGGATGAAGAAAAGGATGCAAAAATATGAAGAACAGTACTAAACACAAGGAGCTGACCCTTTCAAGTTTTATGCTGAAATTATTCCTTTGAAACACTAGTTGTGAATAAGCACCGATGTTGTTCAATTAAACAAGGCAAAGTCCCCTTCTCTATTTGTTCGTCTGTAAGCAGGACTAAAATAACAGTATTACAGATACAAAGCTTTTCAGTATTTTCCCCATTAGTTGTAGGCATACAGAGCCACTCTTAAATGCAGCACTGTCAAAAGATTTCACCAAGGAAGGGAGGAATAGACAAAGCCTCCTACAGAAGCAAGTCTAGTACCGTACTACAGTAGGAAACAACAACATAATATGTCCTAAATGTATCCAGATCTCTCTTAAAATGGCTAGATATTTTCTATCTCTTTTTTCCTGTTTGGAAAGCTTTCCAGAATTGACTTTACTCCCAAATTTCTAGTCACAGTTTGTTCACGTTTATGTACAGCTAACTCAGCTGTTCTTATGCTAACGTCACTTTTTAGCTTAAATGTTTCTTAATGTTTATCCCTTTTTCCTCTTTGTTACTACCAGAAGGGAATTTAGCTATGACCCTTTCCATTCAGGAGAGAGGAGGCTGCCTACAGCCTGTCTGTCAGGGTAACTGAACAAGCACAAGGTGTGGAGGATCAGTGCCATATTATCTGAACAAAATTGCACTGATCATTAGTTGCCCACATAATAGCCCAAACACCCTTGGGTGACTGGGAATCATTTCAGGAAGGCAGCCTGTGCTTCTTGCACTTTTTGGTTGTGGGTCTTTTTGTTTGTTTTGTTTGGGTTTATTTAATTATTTATATATTTAAGCATTTTGTGCTTGTAATTTGTTTATATTTGTGTAATGGGTACCTTCCAGTTCCCTCCAGCTATCTGCTTGAGCTAGCTGATTCAAAGTTTGCTACAGCTTGTTCCCAGTAATCTAATTACAAAATCAGAGCAGTTCAAGATTTTTTTATTCCATTCCATACTTTGCATACTGCTGGATGAAAGCAACACCTACATTGCCTCCCATTTTGTGTGTATAGTTTTTCTGTAAGTGTTTATCAGAGTCAAAAATCCAGTGGTTCAGAGAGACATGCAAGTTGTCAAGTCCAACGTTTTTGACATAGACCTTTTTTTGCATTTCAATGATATGTAGTATTCAGTGACTTTTTTTTAAAAGTGTTTTGTTTTGTTGTCTTTGGTGGAAGGAGATCTGTATCTTTGTGGTTTTAGTTTTGATGCCTATATCACTTTGTCATCCTGTGGTGACTCTGCGAGCGTGTGGTAAGCCAAAGCCCTGTGTTCTCCTGATATCTTCCCTACGAATCTCCCAGTTTATATATGTATTTTTCCCTTGGATACACAACTTTGCAGTCCTCACTCTTGAATTTCATCCCATTCTCAATAATCACATCAGTGAATTGCATCAACAATAAACCACCCATATTTTAAAGAGTGAAACATGGTTAATTTTTGTGACAGTTTTTTCATTTTACTAGTTACAATATTCTTTTAAGTTTTACGTGAAAATACCATTACATTGAGTACTGACTGTACTTCAGTTCCTCACTTTTTTTCTTTTTTAACTGGGAGAGGGAAGAAATAGCACATTGAGTCGATGATGCATTGATAGAAAGATGGGAGACTTTTCTACTGGGATAATTTTTGTCTGTTTTTCATGGCGTTGGAGTGTGTATCATCTGCCTGAACAGAAGCTGAGCTGAGTCCTCAGGTAACAAAGTCAGTGTTAGCCAAGGTGGTATTAGCCTGCTTAAATCCTGTTGGTTCCTTGAATGTTTCAGCATCATTCTACAGACTCCCTGTCAGCTACTCACCATAAAAGTGTGCTACCAATTACCAGACAAACTGAACTTACAAGGCCTGTTCTGTTGTGGTGAATGAACATGAGAAGAAATTTTGAGGCTAATGTAATGCTAAGGGTTAAAAAAGAAAGTAGCTGGTAGAGGTAGCAGTGTAGTAAAAGTGCTCCTTACAGTCATACAGCTGCTGAATTCTTGTTCAGAAATGTCCCTGCAGGATTCTTCAGCAGGACCATCTGAGTATATCCTCTTACTCATTCCTGGTTTTGCCATTGTCTTTTGAATTGGATTGTGTTGTATCAAGTGTCTACCTGATCATCAGCTTTTAAAAAAAAAATTATTCATTTTTAAACATGGTTTGCTTCTCTCCTGTGGCTTATGACATACCCCCACAAGCACTTGTACTGGCACAGCTGAAAAGGCAGGCAAGGGATGAAGGAAGGATCTGAGGAAGCCTGATCTGGCAGTCTTGTACATTTTCAATACATTAAGGCTTTATGTTTTGCTTGTTCTGTTGCACTCAGTGCTGTCGGTGGTTTTTTTTCCCTGTTATCCTTGTTTTGAATTTTTATGTGGACCAGCTGTCTGAGATGGGTTGGTGCTTGAGTCCTCACTGGTGTGTTTGGGGACATTAGCTGTCATTTCTCTTGGGTCCTGGTTATGCTGTGCCTTGTGGGTTTGCTCCTCTACTGCCTAATCCCAGTGAAAGTGGGAGTTGGTTGAGAGAAGTTGCAAACCAAAATGATGACTTCAGTTGAGGAAGAGGACATGAGGTGTTTTTCCTTACTGGGAGTTTATGCTTTCTGATTGAGGCAGTCACAGGCCAGAAGACTTTATGAATCCATAGATCTGTCTGGATCCCTGACCACAGTAGTAGAAGTAGTTCATCATTCATCCCATGCGCTTATCCTTCCGACTCTTTCTTAGGAAGTATCTCCCCCAAACTAAGGTGCTGAGATTAAATATTTTATCATCTGCACACACAAATCTAAGATTAGCTGGGAATGGAATCTATAAGTTTTAAGTCTCTGGCTCTGAGCCTTCTCTTTGGGCTGTTGCTTGTAATACCTGTTGTTGGAGACATTGCTTTTGCTTTGTCTCCAGGAGGGTATTTGCCCTTTGACAGTCGTCAATGAAATGATCATTCCTCTGCAGTCAGCGGATCAGATGGTGCTTTTCTGAGGTTATTTTTGGAAATCACCAAATACACAATGAGGGAGTTCACTTTATGTATCGTATCCAAACAGGTGACTAATCTAACCTTTGAGATCACACTGGATACAGGTTTGTTATAGTGGATGCAATTTAAATTGCTGAAGAGGGTGAAGAGAGCTGACGTGGCTTTTATGGGCTTTCTTACACTGTTTTATTTCCCCCTTCCTCTTCAGAAGGGGTACTTCAGAATTCCAGGTGATAAGACCTCTGCACTTCTTTTGCTGGTATGTTTCAGATGTGAACTATAAAGATGCTGGAGGTAAAACCTCCAATGAATACAGCAGTACTATGACACTGTAATGTTAATAGTAATGTTATTTCTTTTTGCATTCAATATGTTAAAATAATTGGATAGAGTCCTAGGAACTGACTTCTGCATAATTTCTCTTACACTAATGAGTAACAATAAAACAATGGTAGATCAAATGTGTAGCTGCTGTGATTCACTGAAATCGTATGAATGAAAACTGGAATTAATTTGGTGGGTTTTCTTTGCTTTTTTTTATCATGCATCATGCTAAGCAGCTCTTGGCATAATACAATTTGTAGTGGTTGATATTGTTCTTTGGTGGGGTCCAAAAACACCACCATCTTGGAACACATACTTAAATTTTCTTGAAGATTAACAACTTTTTTTTTTTTTTTTTAATTTGTATAACCATAATTCTGCCTCTCCGTTCTGGAACAATTTTACATTTTTGAGAGTGCCTGTATTTCACTTTCAGTAAGCAAAATGGTTGCCTGCTTCCACTTCTTTCTTTGAAACAAATTGGTTATTAGTGCTTGAGTATTCTTAACAAGATTTAAACTCGAATTTATATAGTCTTGGTGAAAGCTTTGCCTAGTGTTAAAATGTGTGAAAGTTATTTGAGAGATATGTAATTTATTTTGTTCAGCATAGCAGTGAGAAAGTTCATATAGTTGGGAGTGCAATTAACTAAATTATCCAGGAAAACTGAAATTAAATTTCATTTTTAATACTCTGCCTGGGGAAGTGATATTGCTTGTTTCTCCAGCAGTGTCAGAACAGACCATATGATGGGTCAAAACTGTTTTAAGCTTCTTTAATAATTTAACATGGAAAGAAGATACTGTGTAAATAATTTCCTGATGAGTGTACATGATGCTGGCCACCAGCAAAAGAGGAAGGATGTATTTTTGTGGGTAGGGGGACAGAATAGGTTGTTTGGAGGGGACTGAAAGCAAATGGCAAGTAATTTATTAATTACAGAAATAAAGTTAACTAACGTAATAGTGTTATAATTACAGCAGGTTTCCAGAGCAGAGATTTGCCAGAGGGCAAACCACTATTCCACATTTAATTTTTCTCTTTTTTTTAGGCTCTGGATGTTGACCGAACTGTTCTCTATAAAATGAAGAAATCTGTCAAAGCCATAAACTTATCTGGTCTGGGTAAGTACATAACTCTTGTTAGTTTATATTGGTGAAATTGTAGGATTCAAACAGCCAGATGTTGTACTGAATCAGAAAGACTTATATGGGTAACTCTGAGAAGAGAAATATGTACATTTAAAATAACAGTCTTGAACTAGGTGCTTGATCCTGAGCTCAGTAAGGATGAGATGTGGTGAGGTAGCTGAACGTCTCTCGCTGGTGTTGGGGTACGAAGTGGGGAAGTCGTGCTCTCCCCTTTCCACCAGGTCTGGGCTACCTGCTCCTTCTGCCACCCCTGCTGCTCGGCAGATCCCTAAGTGAGATTTTTAGCTTGTATAAAGCAGCATATGCAGTGAAATCAAGTTAACTGGGATTAGATGGGCACCTGAAATGGCAAGGCAAGTGTATCATCAAGAGCTGAGGGCATGGGAGGGGTGAAATTACTCTTTGGCAGCAATAAGAAGCTACATTTGCTCTACTGCTTTGTGAAACCTCACCCTTCCTGGTGGCTTCCACTTATGTATGTTGAGAATTTCATGACGAGAGATCTGATGGGCTACAGTTTTTTGTTGTCAGGTTGTACAAAGTCAGATATTTCTCTCCAATGCTGATAAAATACAAAGAGCTATTGCTGCATGTGTTTTTAAGTGTGTGCCAATCTCATGGAGTTGTGTGTGTTTATCTTCTTTGAAAAAAATAGCTGAAGCTTTTGTTTTGTGCATCAGCAGCATTTTGTGAACAAGAAACAGCATTTATTTTTGTGGATAAGAAACAGCATTTGGTTGGCTTTTGCTCTCACTATGCAGTTCATAGCAATTAGAGCTAAGAAAACCAATATTACATGCAAAACAGATAGGCCTGGCAACCTTGGAGAGCCACCAATATCTGAGAGAACTGGTGGTCATGTTGGTGTTCAGACTCAAGGTTGGAATGAGAACTGCTATTGTGGTGTAATTCTTGTCAGCTAACTGAAAGGAAGTTCCTTCTTGTCTAATGTAATGAAGCTGTTATAGCTGTTATCTTTGTATTGTGGAGGGTCCAGTTTAAGATTCATCTAGAGTTGTTTCATCTGTTACATATTGATTTAGCACCCTTTTTTCTGATTTTTTTTTTTTTTTTACTTTTTATTGTTTGGTTGTTGGTTTTGGGTTTTTTAAATATTAATTTATTCTAGAGTGCTTGGCTATGCCTCATAATCAGAGTAGTTGTTAGAGCATTGTAGGAAATCACTAGTTTTTGCATAAGATCAGTACCCTGCCCATGTTCTAAATTCGTGCTGCCCACCCAATCTTGATAAGAAAGGTTTGGAGGCATTTCTCTTCCACCAGCAGAAATACTACTAACCCAGCCACTTGCCAGCCCTTGGGGTTTGTTTCTCTTGACAAAATAAAAACCAAGGCCCTACACTCATAAGAACACAGTTACTGGATTTTTAATATAGGTTCCCTAAATACGAAATATGCATGTTTTGGCTTTCTTCTGTAATGTGAGAATTTACAAACGTTTATGAAGGATTACATAGTGACTCCAATTTGTACAGAGTTTTGTTTCTTACTTAAAGAAAGCCTCTAAACCCTCAAACGTACCTGAATCATATTTTTACATCTATTTTTAATAGATTTCATACCTTTCCTTTGTAGAGAAACTTTTAAAATCCATTAGGAAGAAACCATAGGGCAGGGAGAGTATTTTGGGGGGTTCCATGAGAAAAATAGAACTTTGTGTTCTTCAGAAGCACTTGTGGAGCACCAGCTCTGTTAAAATATTGCTGCAATAACGACCTTTAGCATTCTGGGGAATGTCTTGTAATCCAGAAGAACAGTCCCTACGATGCTGGAGAACAGAAAACTCCCGGGAATGCTGCGTGGAATCATTGCTGTGCTTGTTTCCTAAGGTAAAAAGTCAGCGCAGCTCAGCCGCTGATTACACATCTCACCATAACAATTAGTGGTAGGAGCCTTTTCACCTTGTTCTCATGCAGAGGCAGCTTTCTCCTTTTGCTCTATGAATTGCGGCCTGACCTCTACTCTTCCTAAGCTAAGCTGGATGCAGGAAGCAGTAAGAATGTAGAAAGCAATATGGGAATAGTTCACCTTACTGGGTAGATGTGAGATCTAGAGGAGTTGCCATATCCTGTTTTTGGCTGTCTATGCCAGTCCATTCAAAGCTTGTTCAGGTGTATGTTGAACGTCCTTACTTCATCCTGCAGCAAAAGGTTTGTGAAGTGCTTAGCCCTTGCTGTTGATGCTGAGGAAAAATAAGTACAGTTCAGTGCTAGCCCTTAGTTTTTAAACTTAGCTGTCAGCAAACTATCTCTGGCTGCAAATTTAAGCTGTCAAGGTAAAAACTTGTAGAATTAATGCTTTCTGTGTAACTTCAGTTTTGCATGTATGTTATCCCAGTCTCTAATTACATGGTGTTATACCACTGCTGCACAGGATTTTAGTTTCATATATTAGAAATTAGAGAAAATTTGTAGTTTTTTGAGAAATAAAGCTCTTGAATGGCTGTCCAGATAGGGCATGTGGACAGACAGGCTTATTTTTAGTTTGGAGCATGCTACGTTTGTTGAACAGGTTGTATAACTAATTCATAGAAATTTGGCAAAAGGACATTACATAAAAAATCCTTTGGATATTAAATGTGTTGATGTGTACAAATGGGCTTGAAATGAAACTGGATCATTGCTTGTTTGAACAGATTAATCCTCTCTAAAATAATCTTCAGGGTTTATGCAGGTCTCATGTAATGACCGAGACAGTCTTTGTTCTTGTTAATGCATAATTTGTTTTCTAAGGCGTGGGGTTTTTTTCTCTGACTTCCTTTGAAGCTTTAGAAGTTGGCCACAGTTAGAATAAGAAATAGGCAACATCAACTTTCTCAGGTGCCAACTTGGTGTGCTTTGTCCATGTTCTCAAGCTTGACATGGTCCCTAAACTTGTGTTCAGTAAGACTTTCTATTTTATTCCACAGATCAAATTGACTTTTGACAAAGGGACTTTTTATGCTTGTCTACACAAGCAAGTAAGCTGGTGTCCTAGGAGTGAATCCCTTGATCAAACGAGTTAAGACTAAGGGCCCCTCAGATTTCCTTAATATTTGAATCAGGGAAGCTTATCTTAGGCCTAGATTTCCTCTCGTTCCCTGGGCTGAGTAACCTCCAACACGTACAGCTCAAAGCTTCCTGAAGAGCAGAGGCATTGGGTGTGTGCTGGATGACTTGCACTGGCCTGGTTTTGTTGTCTCAGAAAGGAATCTGGTTGTCGTGAACCAGAGCTGCTTTGAGAACTGAACTGGCCCATGGTCAATGCAGACTGCAAGGATTTGCTTCAGACCCTGCTCTGAATCAGAGAGCTAACAGATCCGGGTTTTGTCCTCGTCTGTAATGTAGTCTGTAGTATTAAGGTGACTCAAGAGTCCTGTTTGATCTGTCGTCTTCTGTTGTAGAGAACCAAGACTCTGCCAACACACTTGATCTCTTCTGTTTCTTTGTTCGGCACACAGCTGAAATTAGAAAATGTTAATAAAAAACTCTAAAATATCATCATCGTCATGGCCAGGCTTCGCAAACGAAGATTTGGGAAGGGCTCTACTCACGTTTGTTGCAAGCGCGTTGGTGGCTAAAAAGGCCAATATGAGATAGGCACGACCGGTTGCAAAAGGCACAGCAGAAAGACTCATTAGGAGGTATATTCTGCAAGACACAATTCTTTCTGCGTTGTCTTTTCTCCTCAAGAGTGATCCTGCGTGCTTTCTCAAAAGTCTCAGTGGCTAAAATATAGAAGTTCATTATAGGATTTGGGAGTTGTTATGCAGTCTCTGCTATGGTGCAGAAATATTGTGGGTCTTTCTAGAGTGCCAGATGTTTGTCTTGTGTTGGTGGCACATTATCCTTTGTACAGCATGTGGATAGATACACATAAACCAGAATTAGTGAGATATGTCGTACTTCTGTCTTATCAGTGTTAAAATATAAATAATATATGTTTGATGTATCAAGTAAATGTTTTTAGCAAGAAATCTGAGAAGTTTTTTTTTAAAAAAAACCTCAATTGTAATTTCAATAGCCTTTTATCTACTGATGATATTTTCATGTTTTGCTCTTTTTGAAGCTCACGTGGAAAATGAAGAACAGTATACACAAGCACTGGAGAAGTTTGGAGGCAACTGTGTTTGCAGGGATGACCCAGATTTGGGAACAGCGTTTTTAAAATTTTCTGTATTTACAAAGGAATTAACTGCACTCTTCAAAAATTTGGTAAGAATTACTTAAGAAAAACATTGACATTTTAAAGCCATTACAAAAACTATATTTATGAATTACAACAGCTCTTCATATTGAAGACAGTTTGTGTTTTGGCAACCACTGCTCTTAAAAAATTCTCAGTGTGTGAAAATATCTCATGCCCTAGCCTTTCCCCTTGCAAAACTCAAAACTAAACCCAAAACAACAAACAAAAAAACAAATTACTACAAAACCCAAACAAACACAACAAAAAACCCTCTTCCAACACTTCTCACGTCTAAAAGCTTCCCACAATAAAGTAGTTGTAACATGTATTATAAAAGACACATATCCATTTGCTTTAAAATTGTGAAACCAGCAAAACCCAGCTTGATTTACTGTGTGTGATTGTGTTGCTTCTACTTTACTTTTCCCCACTTTCCATTTGTATTTATGAAAGGAGATTTTAGTGTCCCTGGAAGAGAGGGTTCTTGCTTCTCAGGGAAGAAATGGAAACAAAATCAAACAAAATACTGTAATGACAAGTGTCCACTGGGGACCAATCCTGCAACTAAAGCCAGTAAGGCTTAAAAGCACTCTTTGGTGAGCCAGATGGGATGGAGCCAAATGGAAGAACAGGAATTTTAATTATGAATGGAGAATTTTCAGCCTCAGTTTCACATTAATCAGAGGGTACAAAAAGGGCAGATTCTGATTATAGTCTACTAGGTAGAGCTTTCCCATGTCTAAGTCCCAGATTTTCTTGAATTCACATAACTCTTAAACCTGGGGCTATGAAGGGGAAATGACCCTGATTCCTATGAGCGTTTAAAAGTCTGTGTCTGCCGAAATCAATGACATTGAGACACATCAAATGCTTTTGTGAGTCTAGACCAAATGTCTGTAGTTTGCAGCCAGCTGGTCATAATCACTTCTTTGGGGAATGTTTCCAGCTGATGGGATTTAGGGCAGTCCCATTCACTCCCTGATGCTGTCCTCTCTTTTTACCCAGTCCTGATATTGATGAGAGAGAATCTCGCCCCAAATGTATTTATCAACAGTGAAATGTATTTCATATTGGTCATATTGATTTGAACTTCTCTGGATGTACAAATATTATCTGGAATTATGTATCGGAAGAGGCATCCTGATCCAGTGTGAGTCAGTTATCCTGAGTCTCCCATGCAGAGGCAGGCTGCTCCTATGGAAGGGAAAATGGAATGGGTCTTCTAATTGATACCTTTTGTTGACTAAAAACCCCTCTCTATCATATATTAATTGCAATATGATTACTTCATTAGGCAAATAGATCTGGGAAATGTGATGTTTAGGTGGTTTTAAAAAGCAATCTATTAAAAGCTGCACCCCCTTCCCAGAAAACCCTTTTAATGTATTATTTTTTCAAGAGTACTTCTAAAAGCTAAAATATGTTCCTGTTTTACCAAAAATCATACCTATTTGTTCTCTTAAAACCAGAAATTACTATCTTAGCAAAAATATTTCTGACAAGTATAACTTTTCTTCCACAAACTGGAAAGGAAAAAAAACGAAATAAATATCTGTAGGATGTGTAATGCATGTTTTTGTTACCTTTTCTTATCCACATAAGCATTTTGTATGTCTTCTTCAAGGAATATTTCTAGCTCTTTTTGCTGTGTACTGTTTTTTCAGTAGCACCTATGTATTTTTGCTTCAGTTTGTATGTATAAGAAGGGGATATGTCATGAGAGAGTAGCTAAGTCTTTAGTTTATCTCAGTTTGTGGTTCTGATTTTCTCTGTTTTTGAATTGAATAATAATTTTCTGTGGGCTTGAATGTAATGATGGGGGTTTGTTTGTTTGTTTTACATTGCAATAGTATAGGCACCTTCTCTCTTTAATACTATCTGGTGAAGAGCGAGTAAAGTTCTGCTCCTTCCAAATATACTTCATATTGTTGAAGTTGAAAGTTTTTTGTTTTCTCTTGACTAGCAAAGGAGATCTAATGGTCCTTGAATGTGGTGTGTCAGTAGGAAGATAGTTTCATTCAGAAAGAAAAACATATGAAAAAGAGAAGTGAACTTCATTATCGCTTGAAAATGCCATATTCATAAACAAGAAATTTAGAACTATAAAAATTATAGATGTATGTAACTTTACCTATTAAAAGTTAATGCCACTAGAATAAACTGTTGGTAACCAGTCACTTTGAAAATCTGTTCATAAGTTCATTGATGGAAGTTTAGGTTTCTAAGAGGTTAAAAGAATGTAAAAAATGATGAGTGTATAAAGTCCTCTACAGTAGGTGGAAATAAATCGGGATGCTATTTTGTTAAAGGCATAGCCATATGTGAAACAAGCCCCATGCTTTCTCTCAGTGAAGTGATGTATCCAACTCTGACTGCTTTCAGCATGTTGACAGTAAAAAACATCCTTCTCCTCTGGCATTTCCTTGTAGCACTCCACATGTTTTAGTTGTAAATATTTGCATCAAAAATGTAGCCAGGGCCATGCAACCTGCTGCTGTTAAAAAAAACATTCTGAAAGGTACTCTTTAAATAGACCTGTCTCTGGAGTTCCATAGGGCACTGAATTTCCACAGAACATTTTTGCTGAAGTGAACGAGTAATGTGCAAGGAAGTGAGAGGACATGTTCAGACTGGAACAGATGCCAAAGATGTTAACACTGGCAAAGCTTTAGGGCTACTGTCAAGTTTTGCTTTGTCATATATTTTGCTTTTGTTTCCAGAAGCTGATGTGTTTTGTCAGCTCTTGGCCTGGGTGGCATTTAGAGCTGTAGCTCTAAAGTGCTTCTGCAAAAAGACTTTTCCTAAACTTATCTTTAGTAAGGTAGAGAAAAGCCATCATAAGGCTGTTCTGCTTTAACAGGGATATTAGATGCTTGTTTTCTCTAATAATTTTAAAAGTTTCCCAAAAAACTGAAGTTTTTGTGGACTGATCAATGCGTCAGTGTTTTAAATATTTCATTAACAGCTGCAGGTGTTTTCTTTTTTAATCCCAAAAAATGTAAACTATTCAAGTTAAAAGTTCAGGTCTTGAGGTTTTTATATGTATTTTACTATGCTGCTTTTATGTGTGCACTTTCAAATAGTGCTTAAAACTAAAAAAAAAATTAATTGGCATTTACTTTGTATCAGGTCCTTGTAACCATTTGCTTTAGCTATTCTAACACATTATTTGGATCAGTTTGTGATATATACTGTACCTTTTTTCCTCTTACCATAGCTGTAATATCAAGCTACAAATTTTTCTTTAACTTCTGTTTTTTAAGAAGATTGAGCAATCAGTTTGTCTTTTTGATAGTAAACGACCAGAAAATACTAGAGCCATTTTCAGAGGAAACATAGTACCTTTTGTGGAGGTACAGCATTGCTTTTTAATGGCAACCTTGTTTCTAAGCCCTAATTGAATGGTAGCACCCGCAGTTCCCAGGTAGGCTAGATCAGGATGGCACTTGCTTACAGTGTTAATTACTCTGTCTTCTTAATAAATACAGTGCCAAGTAATAAAGGTGTGAAGCTTAATATGAAAAATGTTAGGACAAGGGAAGACTGATTGCAGTATGTTTGCACTTTAAATGTTTTCTTCTTTATATAGTTAGATTGCTACACTGAGAAAAAATAAAATATGTAATTGCACGTCATCTTTGTCGGCACTCCTTGAGAAGGGATTTGATCTGTGAAAATGAAGTAGCTATTTAACAAATTCCATTTTCTGTATTTGTTGTTGTTCTACATACTGTTGTCCTTTCTTTTTCATTTATTTAAATTTAAAGCTAATGAAACAGGCTGGATTGAGAGGACTGGATCTGGTATTTCCACTCTGTGGAAGGTAGCTGGGAGGAAGAGATTTTATTTTCTATTAATAATTCTTGGACTTTTAGCCATAAAAAATGGAAGAATACTAATAATATTTTTCTGACCATATGCTCCTGTTTTACTTACTTTTTAAAATGTAAGAAGAAAGGAGATGTGCTTAAATGCAACAAGTAACAACAAAACTGAAGGAAATATCTTTTCTGTTTTATGTAATGAACTTAAGAAATCTATGTCCAGAATTTTCTTTCAAGGGTAATAGTTCAGACTAAGATTTTTAAAAAAATGTTTGCTGCCTGAACCTTCACTCATCTTAGTTAAGCCCATGAAAACCCCTACAGATATATGTATTTGAGATTGAAGTATTATACGTGAAGCTTAATGATTTAAGTTGTGTTGTTTCTGTTTTTCACTGGTACACTGGAGGAAAACTTGGCTAATGGTGAGAGGAAAAGCATTTGATTTATGCTTGTAAAGATATAAACCAAGATGTAATTATTCCTCCTTAGTGGCATGGGTTCAGCTCCACCTGGAATCACATCTGTATTTCTTTGCCAAAAAGATATTGATCCAACTGGAAGAAATTCAGAGGACAGTAACAAAAAATGATCAGGGCTTGAATAGGTTGATTTATGAATAAAGCTTAGAAGAATTTTAAATAAACGGTTTGCCTCCAGATAACTGTGATTGTGGAAGAGGAAAATACTAAATTGCATATAAATGGGTCCTCACTCTGGAAGTATTAGGTGAAGTATCCCAGAGAAAGCGATACATGCTTACCACTTAGTTCTTTTCACATAGGTTAGAAAATGTGCAATCTGGAATTCTCCTCCACTGGTAAGGAAGAAGGGCTACAATAACTGTAAGTCTCTTCCTTCCTTTGCTTTTACGACTCTTCACTTTATGCTTTTAAGATTTCCCATAAAATACTTCCTAATAGAGAAGTAGCCAGCCTGTAGTTTGTTTATTGGTGGTAGTCATGGGGCTGTTTCTAAGTAATACGTGATGGCAACACTTGGTATCCTGTGTGAAGGCATTTTTCTAGGCAGCTGAACCAGCAGCTCCATGTGGGCACTTAGTGGTGTTCGGCTTCTGTTTCACTGGAGTGACTTTTCCTGTGACATAATGGGTGGTGGGTGATGTCCCAGCTCAGCCACACACCTGTGCTGCTGGTGGGGCGGAGACTGAGCACAGGGAAAGGCAGCATTGTGTCCTTGTGTCCAAGGGGAAGGCACAGTGCACAAATGAAAGTATGTGTTGCATCTCTTTGTGCTACACGATTTTGTGAAGCCGTAGGCTTGTGTGCTAAAGCTTAAAGTTCAGACAAACTGCGTCTCATCTATAGTGGATGTTCTGGTTTCCCCTTGCTCCCCGCTGTGTTGATTTGCCATGTCCTACCAAAGGTCACATCACTGGGAAAATTATTGGAAACTATTAAATCCAATAGCACTTGCCATAAAGAAAGAAAATAACTTAATGATTTGTCAGCAGGCAGTACTACCATCACCTGCGCACACCCGAGTTCACTGGTGATTGAGAAGCCACAGCCAAGTGCATGGGCTGCATCTGAAGTTTAGTAATGGCAATAGGAGTTGTCTTGTACTGTGACTGCCTGAATTTTAGTTTAAATTGAAAAAGTTTTAAGGTCTGCATGTTAAATACTTTAAACTTCAGAAGTACTGACAAAGCTTTTTTTTTTTTTTTGCTTGGATTTAGAAAACAAAATCTATAGAAGTTCTGCAGGCACCAGTATCCAAAGCTCTTATGGAAAAGACTCTTTAAAGTAATCAGGAGGGCTGGCAAACAACAAACGTAAATGTTTAGCCATAGGCTGTTAAACCACTTGAACATCTTTCCCCTTTGCAAATGTTGACTTGCTTGTTGCCTCTACCAGCACTTCTGGCAGCTACGTTTTGTTTATACGTTCTCCCTCCTGCCATTTTTTCTTCTTCTCTGAGCCTTCTCCAACTTAGGGAGTTTTAATTTTTTACCCTGTAATCTTCTTGGAAACTGTCAGAGGAAAACTGCAAGTGCCAAAGCAGCAGTATTGGAAGCGAAAATGAGGTCAACTGTTTTTTTTTTTCTTTTTCTTTTTTTTTCTTTTAAACACATGGAACTTGCTAGTGTTCCTCTGAGACAGGATGACTTTAATTTCTGTGAAGCTCTCCTGCACCTTTGTGTATTTTTTCTAAAGGAATATTTTAAAACATAAAATAGTCAAAATGCGGAGGCTGTTGTGTACCTTCTAGCTCCTTGTACACAGAGTAGGAACTGCAGCATATTAATGCTTCTCTGCATGCCAAAAATGGGTCTATATTTTTAGATAGTTCAGCTTAAGCTTCTCAAGAAAGAGGGGAAAAACATGTAAGATCTTTTGTCTATATATTACTTGCTGATTTCTAAATATGAGCGAGTATGATTCATCTAACTAGGTTAATAATGACAAGTTCATGCATTATGTATTTTGTTGCAAATAAACTAGGAGCATAGGGAATACAATAGGCTGATAGTAATGTACAGGTGATAGCACACAGAAAGATTTATTTTGAATAGCCAAACATTCTCCAAACTTTTAAAAAGAATGTAGAGTTTTTTCTCCTATTCTTTTTTCTTAAAATTGCTTTAGGCTCCAGGCCTCATGACTTGAAATTCTAGGAAACATAACTGTTTTGGAGGCTGATTGATGTTTACATGACTGTGTCTGGGATAATACTTCAGGGTCTGATATTTTTTCTCAGGTTGTTTTGAGTTCTGCTGTTGTGAAATACTTTGTTCTTCCTTTTTGTCTATTTACTGAATTTGAAGAATAATTAAATGGAGGCTGTGAAAGTATCGATCCTTAGGTTAGACATTTGACTGCATCATACTCATTAAATAGAATAACAAAGTGGGAAACTGCATGGGATTATATCTTAAAAGGGACCTCTTCTGCTTCTCCACCTGAATAGCCATTCTGGATGTGCAACTTCTTCTAGAAATTTGTTGGGGTTTTTTTCCTAGGTTTTGTGTAGTTGCAACCTTTTCACTTATCTCCTGTTTCTACAACATATAATTTTATTACCTTTGAGAATGGTTACATTGATATGCGCATGTTGTAGTACTGCTGAGAACTTAGAGGGTGGATGGTTCCCAGCACTGCCAGCTAAGCATGTGTAGATGTTGCTCATTCAGTTTTTGTAGGAAGCATTTAAAAAAAACAAACAACATGGAGTTGAAATGTAACTTGTTGATTCTGAAGGGCTGTGGCTGAGTCCTGCAGCTTTTTGGGGAGGAGAAAATGTAGAGTGGAGGAGTGGAAATGTGATTTGTGTTAAGAGTTCAAAAGACCAGATATTCTATATTTCTTTAGCCTCCCATGCAGAGCCAATCCATGTAACCTTTACAATTGATGAACGTTTGCTTTCTCTTCGATTGCTGGCTGAAATTTCAAGCAAATGCAGTAAGGTAGTTTCTTTGGGGAGGAAGAGTGGAGGCTTGGGACCTTTGCTTGTTTGTTTTAATAGCAACTGGTGAGTACCACGGGGGATGGGACCCCTGAGTCTGTTCTACTGAGGCCACCAAGTAACTACAGGGTGATAATATTTTGTATTTTTCAATTCTGGGGAGACTAATAATTGCAAATATTTTTTTCCTGATGTTTGTGTTAGTATCCTTTCTTTTCTGGATGGGTTGTGCTAATAGGGCCTTGGATGTCCCTGACATTATTCCTGAAGAAATACAAGCATTTATTGCTACATGATGCAAAGTTCTTTCTGTAATTTGAACATATGAAATGCGTCTTCATATATGGATTTCAGTGCTTCTTGAAAAATAATCGCATTTTAAAAGAACAGCTTAAATGCTAAAAAAAGAAACTCATCAAAGGACAACCTTCACCAAACTGCTGCAAAAGTTATTCTGATTTTTTGTCCCATCATATTGTTCTAAAGTAGTATAGGCTTTGCTTTTCTGAGCAATCCATTTGAATTGTTATGGTTTAAACTCTCTGACTAGACATTATGGTCCATACCTTGAATGTTTCCCCTGAATCATAAAGAAGTGGACATGCAGTCTTTCTTTTCCTGGCTGTTTTATTCCTACAGTCTTTCTTCACTCTTTTTCCTTATGAAAATATTATCATACAGATACTTACTTAAAACCATGATTATTTTACTGTCTTCATTTATGTCTTCATTTGAAATTATTTTTGTCTCCTTGAAGTACTTGTTTTCTCTTGAATTATACTGAACTTACATCCTGAAGACCTCATAAAATCCTTATTTCAAAGTTCATATGAGATAAATAAGGCAGATGTATTACTTTTTAGAAACACATGGAAAATATTGGAATAGTGGCTTTTTTACAGGCTGGCATTCTTTGTCGTTATAACTTCTGTCAGAATAAAATGCCGTGTATTGGGAGAGTAGCAGGTACATTTTATGGAATAGGTCTGAAGAGACTGGAAAATAAATAAGGTTAATTTAAAATACGTTCATGAACTTAAAATTATTAGTGCTGGAAAATGGTATGATTGTTTTCACATAATTTAAACAGTGAAATCAGGCAATGTAAAAATTAGTGGTCTTATTTTGCAGTCACTGTTGGATGAGATATTTATAATCAGCAGTAATTCTGGAAGTTTCCTGCTGGCTTGGGTTATAGTGTTTCCACAGTAAGTTTAATTAACTCATGTTGCTTCCATCTTTGATTACTGGCTGTGCTGATAAACATCTTTATATGGCAGGGATAGGAAAATAATATGTAAGATTTCCTTGTGAAATTTTCTGAAATGTGTGTATTAAGACAGTTTATGTTGTGTGTCTAAATGTATTAAATGATTTGGTGTAATTTTCTTGTTACAGATTCAGAATATGAACAACATAATCACTTTTCCATTGGACAGTTTGCTGAAGGGAGATCTGAAAGGAGTAAAAGGGGTATGTTGATCTTCCTGTTTATATGTAAGATTATTGTTGGTGCAATGGATACATTTAGCTAGTGTCTTAATCTTATGTGATGGAAGGCATGGGATATTAAAGTAACCTATTAGCTTAATAAACAAGACTTTGGGGTTTTTGTTTAGGATTTGTGTGTATGTATGTGAATTGAGTCATCCTTTCAGTTTGTGGTTTTGCCTACCACATGTTCTTGGCTATGTACACAAAGCAATATTTGAGAAGCTTTAAAAACAGGCCTGAGATACAGAAGATAAGCAGAGAAAGAGGTGTAAGATTTAGAAGCTTAGTTGAGGAGTGGGTAGTACTATATTTAAAAGGATTATTAGTAGTATGTTTATTTAGCATTCTAAACTTACCTGTAACTATATGGATTTTTAAGAAAGACACATTAGACTGTATAAGCATAGGATTTTTCTTAATGAAGCTGAAATCTGTTTGTGCCTCGAGGATATTTCCTATTTGAAATAACAACAACTTAGGACTCAAATGATGATGTGTTTGTAATAAATTTCAGAACCTATAGCCAACAAACTTATTTGGCTTATGCTTTGTTTACTAGTGAGCAAACAGGAAGCGACTGGCAGCTATTGTTCTAGGACATTGAAGGAAGGAGAAAAATATGTACATGAACTAAAAATGTTTCTGTAGATTACTGGAGGATAAATAGATTATTTAGTAAGATAAGCTTGTTATCTTTGTATTGTTTGCTTACCACATTTTACTCCTCTTGTTCTTTGCTTTTTCTATGTCAGAATAAATACATCTATTACAATACAGTGTTGCCCCACTGACTTGAGAATGTAATGAAATACTGCTTTAGTTGTTTTAATAATTGTCAAATAACTAGCTGACATGTAAGAATTAGTTCCTAATCTGTAATTGCAAAGTTTTTCCAGTGTCTGACAGTTAATGGTATTTTTTTTGTAGTTGTCTGATCTCTTGAACTTCAGCAGAATTTCAGCTGTTCCATTTTTAGACATCAGCGAAATAACTTTACAACTTGTTAAGATCATTTTATGCAAATTACCTTCTCCAGAGGGAAGAAAATTAAGGAATTTGGAACATAAGTAATTTAAAATTCTCATGGAATTAGTTATGTTGAGCCATATGGCCTGTACTGGTCCCATTAAGTGAATGGGAAGTTGATTTCTTGAACTTGAGTGGGATGAATCAAGTCCTTAGCCAAGACTATGCTGCAGCCTCGGGATAGGTGCTTCTTTCCAGTAGAGCTAGAGATTGATGAGAAAATAGCTGCTTTGATTAATTGCATAATATGTTCTTGGGATACCATGTTTTACCTTTTAAGGAGTAAAATGGAGCTGTAAAAACCATAGCAAAAAACATCCTAGAGATGTGTTTAAAAATATGAATGTATTAATGCTCTTTACAAGATTGTTTTCCTATGTGCAAGATTGCTTTTGCACAACCCTTAGGTGAACCATTCAAGAAGGAGTGAAGTCCCTTATTCTAGTAGGCACTGCAAGTGGCCAAGGTGTGTGTTCGTTGTTAGAGCCACAAATTTTTCATTTAAAAAGCTGGCTGTATTTTTTTCTTTTTTTTTTTTTTTTGACAGGACCTGAAAAAACCCTTTGATAAGGCTTGGAAGGACTATGAAACGAAAGTGTATGTATCTTTTAAACTTTTATTTAAAAGGGAAGTGTAACTGAAATCTGTAAAGGTCATTATTTAATGCCAAGGTTGGATGCTCTCAGCAGGTGTTTCGTGTACCAGAAGTGGATGTACACCTATCTGAGGCTTGTAAGTTGTGTCTCATGTCATGTGTCTAGCCCAACTTATCATAAGCCACTTGTTTGAAGGTACCTGATACACTGTATAAACAGCTATAAAATAAGTTTATAAATAACTGAATTGAGTCAATAAAGCTCAACACCTAATATCAAACACAATTGATTCTGGTACCTTGTAAATCTTAAGTGGTTCAGTGCCCTACATCAGGAACAGTTGTTTCCTGAGTTGGCTGGGTCAACTGTGTCAGCACAGCTGATGGTCTCTGAAGTAGAATTTTGTAGTGAGTTTTATTCTGCATTACAGTTTTACCTGGATTGTGACTATCAGTTGAGTTTTTGTGTCACAGTATCTTTATTCTGAAATAATGCTGCATGTATCAGGCCTTTTCTGATGATACAGGTTGAGAAGAATCACATCTGATGACACTGTTTAACATAAATAGCTTGCAGATCCAGAACCAACTGGATTGGCTGAGTATCTGGCACCATTTATATTTTTTTTTCAGTTGCACGAAGTTATAATGATCCTCTGGTGCCCACTGAGTTAGTCCATCTGAAGTCTTCAAAAATTATTCCCGCCTAGCTGTAGCTGGATTTTATAACAAGACATTTTGAAACACTGAAATAAACCTCCAATCTGACCGTTGGAATCCTTGGAAGATTGTGATGGCTCCAGTGTTTCATGTTCTTGGTACCAGTGAACAATCTCATTTGGTGCCATACGAGTTATTGACTGTTGAAGTAATTAATATTTGTAATCATTGTCCATGGCAGTAGTTGGTCTCTGAGGACAGGCCATAAAGAATAGTCCTGCAATGTAGTCTGCTATTGTCTACCAGTACTTGGTTGCTGGATCTGAAAGCTTGTTTACTTGTGTATAACTATTATAGTGACATCCCACCAAGTTTATGTACAGAATTTAAAATAAATTTGCATGCTGCTGGGACATACACCAAGGACCCTGTTACTACCGGACCTGTCATCTCTGGTGCTTTTAGGATTTCTGATATAATATTCACTAGGGTGTGTTGAAGTGATGTAAAGATCTGTACTTGATCCACAGTTTGCTCAGAGCTGGTAGCCTGTTTCAGAATCAGGTACTCCAGAAATATTTTCAGTTGATATTTAATTTAATCAAGTACTTGAAAAGTAAAAAAATCCTCTTAGAAAATGTATATTTAGAATCTGTATATTTGGGGGTTCTCATTTTAGGTTATGAACATGTTGGAATGTTGCTGCATATGCTGTGTCATTCAGGACCTAAAAATGTGATATTGTGTTTTCTGTCTGTGAGATTGAATCCACTGCTGCTTGTATGATGAGATTTTTTTTATTTTAACCAACAACTCTCTAGAAAGCCTGATTTATGACTTTGCTTTCAAGTAAAAGACACTTGTGTTTTGATCTGAAACAAGTTTCTTTTTCCACTGTAAGGAAATACTTCTTTTCAAGTTACTTCTGTAGTTTCTGCAAAATCTTAACAAACGAAGCAGACCTCCTTGACAATGCTCGTTTCTAAGGCATTTACATGTCATTCTACATGCAAAAACTCAAGGTAGCACATGTTAATCAGGAAATTCTTTCAGATCCATGAACCATTTCTTTTGATATGTCTGAGTGGTGGGCTGGTACAATTGCTGAGTGGTCTATTTTATTTTTTTTAAGTGGTTAGATGAAAGCTCCACATCAATATTGCAGAGTTTAAAGCTGCTAGTCCAGCCTGTTGGACTCCTTGACTTTGATGAAGACCAAAGAGTTGTCTGCTTGAGGCTTGGGATAGGGAGCCTGGGAATTCTGTGTTCAAGAAAATTCTTTAAAACAGTGGGCAGCTTTTTTTGCCTTTTTTTGTGTCTGGGGTTGTTTTACAACAGCAGAAATTACTTAAGGTTGGCAGTCAGGGAATACTGTTTTTCACTGCAAGCTGTGTTGCTTGTGCCAAGGAGCAGACCAATTTTCCACAGTTTTGTTGAGTTAAATTCAGTAGGATTGTGCGATTTGTCAGACCTCTTGTGCATAAGATCAGTTCTCAGATAAGCTGAGATGTTACCAGCTGTCATTATTGAGCACTGGTCTTTACAAGTCAGAGATGGGAAGTTTAATGATGTGATTTTTGAAACTAGGATGAGAATATTAATTTGACCTTGTTCAGGTCAACTTTTATCTCATACTAAATTTTGGACATAGGAGTACAATGAGGTTTCTCTGGATTACTATTATATATGCTGCTGAGGTTTCTTGAGAATCTAACTGTTTTCCTTCTGTGGCTGTTCCAAGTGGATCTGAACTTCCTTACAACTGTGCATTTTGGTCATCTGTAGCAGTAGGTGGATGCAGACTTACTTTAAGAATTCTTTAATGCAGATTTTTATGGTTTTTTTGTTGTATTTTGGTGGTCTGTGTTTTAACAAAAAGGACAAAAGGACTGGTAGAGGTAACCTCAGTCTCACCTACAGCTTGGGTTGCCAGAGCAGAATGGTGGATGTAGTTGCTGATAGCCAGAGGTTTGTTCAGCCTTCTTCAGTCTGTTACTTTAGATGACTCTTTGTTTGGATTGTGCCAAAAATCAATCCTAGATTTGTTCTTAGCTAGCTGTCTTTTCCAGTGATTCTTCTTCAAATATGTGAATAACTCTTTATTCTTTTTTTTTCTTTATTCCTCTCTCTTTTCCTGTTGGGTTAACAAACCATTCAAGGCTGCTAGGCTGCTCTTTTTCTGCACATCCCTCTGTATCATATGCTTAACATCATATCATTCGTCTGCGTTTCCTACTCACAAGTACAGACCTGTGAAGCTATGTGCCAGATAGCAATTTTTGTAGTATTTTTGTAGTCTGTGGGGAAGTGACAGTCTCCATCCTGATTGCTGTCTTTATAAAGAAGAATTAGAGCTTATTTGTCACACTGGCTCATCTCACTTACTTGCATCTCTGTGATGGCCTCTCAAGTGCAAATACACTCAAGTGTGACCTATTTGAAAAGAAACAAATTTAATTAAAAAATGGCATCTGTTTTGCTTCATCCCCATAATGACTTCTAAGCTGCTACTTCAAGCTCGGTATATAATTAAGTGTACTTAAAATTACTATGTATTTAATTCTTGTTTGGGAGAGGGATGTTAAGATCCATTCTTATGCTCTTGGATCACCATTCATCATTGTTGATTATTATGCAATAATAATCTTCTTTACCCTGTAGCCACCTAACTTCTCAGACTGTTTTTCTGAGGATCACATTAGCTGAAGTAACTGAGGAAGGCTGGATCCATTTTTCGCTATTCCCTGGGGCTGCTCTTGAATAAGGGAGTATGAGAAGCAAGTAACCTATAGCTTCATGTAAGCCTACCTCAGGCAAAAACCGGGACTATCCTTAGGTAACATTCATGAATTATTCATCTTTTCTCACCATCAGTCATTAACATGATTCAGTTGGAGCCATAAAGATTTTATAATGTTTTTAAAGCTTTAAAGCAGTGCATTTCTCTTGGGACCTCAGTTACAGCCATTGTTTCCCACACAAGAGCTGGGAGATGCTGCCGGCCACAACAGCAGCACAGTGGGACTGGGCTGTGTCCCTTGGGGAGAGTTGTTGCAGAATGGGCTCTTCTTGCTACGAGGTGGTTGCTGTCCCACATGTACTGAAACACTAATGGCAGACGTGCCAGGGGAGCGTACGGGAAAGGAGTACACATGTCATAAAAACTGCTCATTCTCCCAGCAGACAGATCAGATTCAGGAAGGCGCTGAGCCAGATTTCACCCATGTGCTTCGGTTTAATCAGTCCTGCTGGGGTAGATTCTGAGGTAAAGATTTTGTATCAATTTTGCACAGGAAATCGAAGCAGAAACTTACTGAAGGATACTATCTACTAATTTTTTAGCTGAATGTGTCTGTATTCCAGACACAAACCTGACTTTCCTGAAAAGAAAGAAATGTTATTTTTTTAAAATAAATGTCTATGTTGGGGCCTGTAAATATATATTACCTTCAGAAGTCCTCTTTAATAGGCGTTGTGCTAATGCTGTGAAATGTAAAGGTTTAATGAAAACTAATAAGCTATTCCTGGGAAGGCTGGCTGCCTCTCCTCCTTTGCCATTCTCCTTTTAAAAACTGGGCATGAGGTCTCTTGTGCACAACTGCCTGAAGAGAACAAGTTGTTTAAATGTGCTTATAGCATTATAAGATGAAGGCAGTAGCATTACATTACTGTGAAGAAATGCAAGTGTTCGTATCTAGATATAACTCTGTTGTTAGTGGTTTGTTTCTGACTCATTTGAAGTCAATGGAAAAATGGGCAAAGTCTAAATACAGTCTTCTGTAAAGATGTCTGTACAGGTACTTGTTTAAGTGATGATATTTCCAGTTTGGTAAACTCATGTTTTAAACAATATTAAAAAAAAGCTTTTATCAAATTACTTCTTCAGAGCTCTAACTTGACTCAATAGATCATTGATATTCATAGATGGTAGATATTTCTGTCACATTTCCTTTTAAAGCAACTGCATAAGACAAAATGGAGGTCACAGCTTGAAAATAATGACATAGAATGAAAATGCTAAGCAAGGTAGCTTTAATATAGAATCACAGAATAGAATAATACAGTCATTTAAGTTGGGAAATACTTTAAGATCATCAAGTTCAGCCATAAACCTAACACTGCTAAGTCGACCACTAAACCATGTTCCTAAGTGCTGTATCTACACATCTCTAAATACCTCCCAGGATGGTGACTCAAGCACTCCCCTGGGCAGCCTGTTCCAATGCTTGACAACCCTTTCTGGGAGAAATTTTTTCTAATATCCAATCTAAACCTCCCCTGGCTCAACTTGAGGCTGTTGGCTCTTGTTCTATTGCTTGTTACCTGGGAGAAGAGACTGACCTCCACCTCATTACAACCTCCTTTTGAGTAGTTCTAGAAAGTGCTAAAGTCTCCCCTGAGCCTCCTTTTCTCCAGGCTAAACAATCCCAGGTCCCTCAGCTATTCCTCATCAGACCTGTGCTCCAGACCCTTCACCAGCTCCATTGCCCTTCTCTGGACATGCTCCAGCATCTCAGTGTCTGTCTTGTAATGAGGGGCCCAGAGCTGAGCCCAGTACTTGAGGTGGGCCTTCACCAGTTCTGAGTACAGGGGGACAACCACTGCCCTAGCCCTGCTGGCCACGCTATTACTGATACAGGCCAGGATACCATTGGCCTTCTTGGCCACCTGGGCACACTGCTGGCTCATGTTCAGCTGGGTTCAACTAGCACCCCCATGTGTCCTTTTCCAATGAGCAGCTTTCCAACCGGTCTTTCCCCAGCCTGTAATGCTACCTGGGGTTATTGTGACCCAAGTGCAGGACTCAGCCCTTTGCCTTATTGAATTTGATACCATTGGCCTCGGCCCATCAATCCAGGCTGTCCAGATCCCTTTGCAGAGCCTTCCTACCCTCCAGCAGACCCACACTCCCACCCAACTTAGTGTTCTCTGAAAACTTAGTGAGAATGAACTCAATCCCCTTGTCCAGATGACTGAGTAAAGATATTAAATGGGGCTGGCCCCAGTACTGAGCCCTGGGGAACACCACTAGTGGCCAGGCATCAGCTGGAGCAGCTCCATTCACCACCACTCCTTGGGCCCAGCCATCCAGCCAGTTTTTCTAAACAGTGAACAGTGTACCCATCCAAGCAATGAGCAGGCAGTTTCTCCAGAATGCTGTGGGAAATGGTGTCAAAATCTTTACTGAAGTCCAGGTAAACCACATCCATGTTATACTGTTTCAGCCTGAGATTTCGTATTAATTATTTTTATTTTGAAGGAGATTACCTGAAAATTAAATGGAAGAGTCTTTGGATGAATCTGAAGATGTTATGGATGAAATGCTGGAAAGATTTGAGCACATTTTGCTCTTTATGCCCTCTTCTCTCCCATCTTTCAGAGCAGGATGAGTGAAAGGGAAAAGCTTTCCCACATCTCCAAAAGGAAAAGATGGCTTCTCCATTGAGGACTTGAGAGATAGGAGAGACATGCTTTACTGTCAGCATTGACAGGCAGTAGGATAAAATAAAATGGAGGCTCTTTCACCAAAAGGCTGGAGTGCCAGAGCCTGGAGAGTCAGGCTGAAAAGGAAGACTAAACAAAGAAAGGATATTTGAAATTAAAATGTCTAATATTATTTTGTCAAACAAAGTAGCCTTCGGAAGCACTCCATTTTTCAGAGTGCTCCCAATTCAAATGTGTTCCTTCCAGGTGCTGTTCCCAGTCTCTGCACCTTCTCATGTACGTACCCAGACTCAGCCTGGCTTACTGCTGTAGGGAGAAGGAGAGGAAGAGCAAGAGTTGCTTCCCATCCAGCCAGTTCACTACTACTGCATGTGCACTGGTTGTTTACCCTTATTGACTGGCTGAAAATAAATACCAGTATTTGGTATTTATTTATACCATGATCTGTATGGCAAAATTGACTTATTTGAAATGCAAATTATAATTTATATTGAAAAACAGTTGCTTTTCAATTTAGAGCTGTAAAAATAGTCTTATATTGGAAACTGAATGGGTGAGACCATTCACTTTGTTTGACTTTTCTGTTGTTCTTCATCCTGTGTTTCAGCTTTGCTTGTCTGCTACACACATCTGAACTCACTGTGTATTAGTTATGTGCAGCTGCATTGTAAATGGACTGATGTGTGCTCAGAGTTTAATCTTAGTCAGCAAAGTCTATGTGATACATGTGTTATGTGCTGCATGAGCTTCAAGAACAGCAGCATAACAAAACATTTGCTGCTTTCCTGCTGCTTCTGGAGTATTTTTTAGAGTTTTCACAATTTTCTTATTAATTTTGCCTAATTGATCTACCTGGAAAACCCGAATACCCTGCAATATTTGAAATTCCACAGTGTTATGTCACTGAACTGTCTTTGACAGTTCTGACAACAGGATTTGGTTAATGTCACAATACAGTGATACTTGAAGCTGAATTGATCCTTGCATTTGGATGGGAAACCCAGCCAACCTTTTGCACTCAGAAGATTTGCATGCAACACTGCTGTATGGAATTTCTTTGTTTCCCTAGAAATGTATATGATATAATGTAAACTCCTAGAGTGTGTGCTAGAAGGGAACTGCATGTTTGTCATTTTCTGTTAGTCTTCTTTGCAGTGGTTTATCTTCCTTGCTCAGGTTTGGTTAATTCTTGCGTTTGGACTTTTCTGTGTCTACAAAATGACGTCATTGGCAGTAACTGGGTAACAGTACAGACTTATTTTTCATGAAAACAGAACAGTCTGGAATTGAGGTTTTATTCAGGTGACTGGAGTTTTTCAGAATATTTATTTCAAAGGAGAATAGCTTCTCTCTAAACATGTGCTTCTGGCAAGATGTGATGGGCTGAGGAGGCGTGCAGTGCTGGCTGCTGGAATATTGCACAGGGATGGCTCTGCTGTGCCTGCCAGTGGTGAGAGCACAGCGGGGCTTTTCAAATTGCTGCTTAAAATGTTTCCCAGTGGGTATGTTATGGGGTGGGATTAATGGGATTAATTCCTGTTTTTCCTTGCTGCTCAAGGTGTAATAGGAGGCACCTCCTCATTCTTGAGAAATGTAAGTTCAGAATGCTTTGTTGACCGGAAGTCCTTAGACTATTTAGGACATTTTCCCATAAGCAGTTAGGGTAATGTTAACATCAGGTTAAGAGAGTACTTGAGACGTCATCTTTTTAGAGGGAGAACTGAGAGACACTTGACTACCCAAGAGGAGGTAGGACAGTTGTGTGTGTTATTTGTTCCTCTGATCTCCTTCCTGTATTCCTGTGTAATGCTTCCTCTTGTTCACAAGCAGTATAGCATTTCCTCAGGAAGCTTTTTTTGAATTTTCAGATTCTAAACAGTATGAGTGGCAAACTAATACTCTTTCTCCAAAAAGCAAACACCCTCATGTATTTTCTTATTATCTTTTTTTTCCATATCAGACTTGTCTGACTGGGTTGTCTTATTATGCTACTGCCTTTAGGAACAATACGGAGAATAGCTGTAACAAATGCACAAGTGTGTTTACGGGAGTATGGCAGGCACTGGTTATCCATGTATATTCTACAGGAGAACCTGTTTTATTCAGAGCTCTTGGAAAATGTTCATGGAAACTTTTAGGGAATTAGGACAGCTGGTCTAGCAGACTTTGAAGTCTGCAACACAGCCGGCTGGCCGGCATTCCCAGTGCCAACTGGCTCAGCAGCAAGTAGAGACAGCAACTGTGATTTTGGCTTAGGAAACCCTGTATATATAGAAGATGACTTGATGACAGGCAAGACTCAATAAATCTGGTGACATAATTGAACTCTGTTAACCAGTGTTTGCTCTGTTGGGATTAAACAACACCCTGTGTTATCAATTAAAACTCATTATTTTTTTCTGTATTTCCTTTCTTCAGAGCAAGAATTTAATATCTTCTCATTTAGTGTCTTCCTTTGGAATATCTGTCAGAACATTATTTTAACAGATCATCGAATTAGATTTCAGCTACTGTATGTCATTGTCGATCTTTAGTCATTGTCAAATTTCAAATGAAATGTCATCTGGAAGTAACTCGTATGCAAAGCTACGGGAGTTTGGCTCTGCATCTGTCAGGAGACTTTGTGAATAATCAGATTTCCTAAGAGGCTGTGGATTTCTCACTTCATTGACTGATTCTTTTTGCCTTATAGTACGAAAATAGAGAAGGAGAAAAAAGAGCACGCTAAGCTACATGGGATGATCCGTACAGAAATAAGTGGAGCTGAAATTGCAGAAGAGATGGAGAAAGAAAGAAGGTTCTTCCAGTTACAAATGTGTGAGGTAAGATGCAACGTGAAATTCGTATTGTTCTGCTGCTGTTTTTAGGAAAGATTTGAAAAACGCAATTGTTTAATGGCAGTTGTGACGCTAAAGGGAAATGCCAAGTTATTAGTGGCCTCCATTTGTGAAAACACATTTTTTTTATCATCCAGATGTGCAAACTTTGGAGGGAATTTAGGTATGTTCTAATTTCACTTAACAAGTAAATTAATGCAAAGCTCAATAAAACACTAAGAGATTATAATAAATAAGCCTTTACACTACTAATTCACTGTAAGTTATTTTAAACCCTAGATCATTCTCTGAATTGTTCCCTGTGCTGACAGCTGTTGCATTATTATGAGGAGAGACTCTGGTCTAGCACAGTGCCGGGCTGGTGCAGAGAAAAAGTGCTAAGGATGGAATTCAGTTGTCTTTCAAGATGTTTCAAAATGTTTCTACTTGGAAGTCTTTGTGATTTTGCAGTATGTTAAATCTCATGTGAATATTTTTGGTTCAATTTGTTTAAGGGCACGTCTGGTTCCGTGGTTGGGAATTTAAGTTGCTGTGTTCATTTTTTCTCTGCATTAACTCAAAAATATACCGTGGGTGATTTTACTGTGATGATTATAGCTAATTTGACTCATATGCTAGCATAGCATAACTGCAGTTGTCATGAATGCCACTTCTAGTAACTGCATGCACTCATACTTAATAGAAAAGCTTCACATTCCTATACAGAGTCAGACTAAAGTGTTCAAAATGCATAAAGGGATTTGAGTACCCAATAAACATATGGATGTTGTCAGCTAATTGCCCATCTGTATCCTTCCTAAGAAACAACCAGGAACAGATGCTTCTCTCTTGCTGTGTCACAGTAAAGGCAAAGTTCACGTGAGTCAGTTGTAGTGGTAATGCAGGGTGAAGTCTGTGAAATTGGATCAGGGTACCTTAAATGTGGAATAGCTAAAGTGTATCCTGTATTTCTTCTGATTTTGGAGAAAAAAAGTTTTTAGTTGGTTGCCTCTGAATAGTCATAAAAGGGGACTTTTTGATAATGAAAACTATAAAATCAATAGGTAGATTTTAAAAATTGTTAAAATAATCCCTCACTTTTTTTTTAGTAAACTGGTTTCCTCCTTAAGACATCTGTTTAGCAATGAATTTAACAACTAGTGAGACACATTCTTAGATGTGCTGCTAGGTTTATGAATGGTTTTCTAAATCTACCTCACAAACACTTCCATGCTTTCTTTAACAGAGGCTTTCCCTAGGAGCCATAAAGGATGTTTTAACAATTTGAACAAATCATAATGAAATATCCTCACAGGATATCAAAAATCAGCAGTGACAAAATTCCATTTGTGTGATTTAACCCATGATGCCACTTTTTGATGCATTCTCTTTTAGGTCTTGTAAATCTGTAACTGTTCAAGCTTATTGTAATATAACTGAAAATAAATGTTAAAAAAAACCACTGTAGCAGTAATAATTGATTTCTTTTGTGTATTACTGTTCTAACAGTATCTACTGAAAGTCAATGAAATCAAGATTAAAAAAGGAGTGGACTTGCTTCAGAACTTGATCAAGTACTTTCATGCTCAGTGCAAGTATGTTTTAGTTTTCTTTATATCTAAACAATAACTGGAGCAATGTTTTGTTTTCAACTTCTGACATCGTCATAACGCTTTTCTAGAATTTTCAAAATAAATATTAAGATTCAGCTGTTCTTGCTGATGTCTCTTGACAGATTGCTTTTGTCATAGATGAGTCATTCCTTTTGTTACTATTTTCTGGAACATGTAATGAGGTTGAACTTGTTGGTTGAAAGGAGTGCCAAACAATAATTTGCCATGTTTATAAATTACTCCTGAAACAGAGCTATTCATTTGGTCTATTACTTAGCAGTCCATTAGTTTTGATGGACTTTTTTGAGTGTATCTAGCAATGATCTAAATTAATTCCCTGCTAAAGAAAAATAAATTGCATAAGCAGTGGGTTTAAGCTATATTAAAAGAATCACTCTTTTTCTAGTTAATTGGAGGACCCAGTAATAAAACATATAGTTCTCATTAGAATTATGTACTTTTTTATGATAGTCTTACAAATCAGTAATGTAGCAATGAAGTCACAGCTATAACCTTGAAAGAGCTACTGCCAACCTGTTGAAATCAGTAAGTTTTCTTCTTCAAACACCAGTTTGCATCTATGTATTTTTTTTCCCTATGTTGCTTTTAAAATCAATTTTACTTATGGTATGTCCCTTATCTACTCTGTCCATTTAATAGCAATTCAACAACATAAATGCTGTGCTGTGTTGTTACTTTCATGTCTGCTTCCCAGAATGAAAATATTTTGTGTTGCAAACAATGCAGCAATTTTTAATCAAATATGCATGTAATTGTGGTTTCTTAAAATTTATTTTTAAAATCGGAATTACTGAGTTTTTTAAGAACTGGAATACTGGGCATAGATAATGTTACTCTGCCAATATAAAAATACAGATAATTCAGTAAGATGTAGCATATTCAGTTTACATGTAGACTATAATTAATGCTTGGGAAACAAATGGGGTTTCCTTTAGTAGAAAGATTGCATCAGACGTGAAATTATTTGGCTTCAAGAAGTCATAATTATTTTATATCTACTAGAGCTTTTGCTGTTCTACAAATGAATCTTGCTTGTTCTGGGCCTTCACAAAATGGGATGAGAACCTGTATTTGAGGTGAGAATGAGGAAAATTTATGTGGCAGTGGATTGTGGCAGTTCTGAATCTAATTGGGGATTTTGCATGTTAGAATAAGCTATGATGGAAATAAAGAGGTGGATCAGCCAAAGATGCATTAAAAAAGGAGTTTAATGTTTTGAAGTTTATGGCATGGCATAATAATATGCATGTCTTCCTTTGGCAACTTTTTAAGCAGAAAATACAAAGTAAAGTTTAATAACAGCTTGCTTTTTGCTTTTCTTTTTAAGTTTCTTTCAGGATGGGTTAAAAGCGGTTGAAAGTCTCAAGCCTTCAATTGAGATGCTCTCAACAGATCTTTATACAGTGAGTAACAACCTTTCACATTTGTGTCGGAAATTTAGTTTTTTACAATAGAAGCATGAACATTTTGGTTCAGATTGGCTGACTGTTTTAATAGTCAGCATTTTAAGGTTTTCAGTAGATAGTTGAGAAAAGTCTTGTTCCAATATAGCATTTAGAAACCTTAGCTTTAGTTCAGGACCTCACTGTGTAAAGTGTTAGGAAAACAGCCTTTGCTCTAAAGTGGAAACACAAGGAAGCAAGAATATTGTGAGGCAATATCAGAGTCTTAACCCAGCAATATCCTTGCCATTATCAAGTTGTCTGAAGATATAAAGGAAAAGAAATTGATCACATTATCTTTTCTCTTTGTTTTCATTCTTGATGAACATTTCTTAGAAAAATGAACCAATTAAGCAGAAAATTTGAAAGACCTGGGTTGAAAATAGAAAATAATGTTATTTTTAACCTGTGTTTTTATTCATTCAAGATTAAACAAGCACAAGATGAAGAAAGAAGACAATTAACACAGCTTAGGGATATTTTAAAATCAGCACTCCAAGTTGATCAGAAAGAGGTGAGCATATAAGGTGGTTTAACTTTGTAATACCTATTTTAATTACTTCTAATGTAATATTAGTATTCAAAACAGTTATTTTAACTTTTATCAGCCATCTAATTTCTTTTGTTCATTCATCTTTGTTTTGATGTTGATATTGAAGTTTGTGACAAAAATTTCTAAATTAATGCCCACTAAAAATACGAGACTTACTGAAAAGTAATTTCTTTTTGTATTGCAAATATATTGCAATATTGCAAAATAATTCAGATGGTGCACTGTTGCTCAGACTGAGAATGAAAGAACTTTGGCAGTATCAAGGAGACTCTATTCGTGGAACCTTATCTCACAATACTAATCCAAACTGTGTAAAGATTATGTAAAACTGAACTTCAAATCCCAAACCACCTCTGTCATCTGCAAAAGTAACAATTAAGTTTGCTACTCTGCTGCAAGATGCCAGGGTTCAAATGTGCAAGGGCTGGGGCAGTTTGGCAATCCAACAAATAAGTCTTTTTTGAGTTTCGATTATGATTGCCGTTAGATTTAATGAGTTCTGGAGTAGTTTCATTTGCAGACTCTGATCTGGAAGTAAGCATCCTTTGTATACTGTAATCCTAAATATTGGGTGTACTTTTGTTTCAGATTGCTTGTGCTTCCTCTTCATATAAATAAATGCTAGCCAGCTTCCTTTGTGTGGCTGCTGGGCCATGAAAAGTGATGAATGAGCCCCCTCCCCCTTTTCAGATTCTCTTTCTGAAGGGATCATGATGAAATAGTTTAGTCTGCAGAGCTCAGACTTCCTTGATCTTTTCCGGTCTTGCTTTGATCGTCCCATAAAAGTTACGATGACTCCTGGCTTTTACTGGTGACAGGTGATGGTTGTTGAGCAACGTAAATGAGTGAAAGATGTCCCTGCCCACAGCCGGGGGTTGGACTGGATGACCTTTAAAGGTCCCTTCCAACCCAAATCCATGTGATTCTGTGACCTGCTGACAGGCATTTGGAACAGCCTCGAACGCTCTTCATTTTGAGATGCTGTTTGTTACCTTGTGAAGTTTGTGATAATGGCCATTATGTACAAAGCTCCATACAGGCTGCAGGCCCTTTCTTAGATTCTGCCTGGCATTCAGGACTCACTGATTTGCCAAAAACTTCCAAATTTGAGCTCTGCAGAATTAGAGACTAGTGATCCTCATGGAAATGGTGACTGCTTTGGGTTCACCATTAATTCCCCACTCTCAATAAGGAATCATTGCTGTTTGGAGTGTGTTAGCAGACTTCTTGTTTTAATTGGATCATTGCTCAAGGGAGATACCAGAAGCAGTTGGGTGTTGTGGTTGCTGCAAATGTTGCTTCTCTATGTTTGCCTCTTTATCAGTGATACTGATATTAAATGTATATGGAAGATGTGATAAGTACACATCTGTTCATAGACTCATAAATTAATACTACACATAAATTTATTATTTCTGCTGGGTTTGTGACATTTAAAAATGCAAGCATAAAAAGTGCTTTGTGCTATAGCTATTATTTCTTAATTCTGCAAATCTAGATATAGATGCTTACCTGCAGAGCACGAGAAATATAATTATTTTTAAAGTTTTTTTGAAAACATCAGTTAATCAGTGGGATGCCAAAGAGCTGTGATATAATTTACTGTTCAACCCAGTAATATTATTCTTGTTGCACTGTAATTTCCTTTACTATAACTGATTTCTTTTTCCTTCCTGAAATGCATTTACATTTTGTGACCGAAGTCTAGGAGAGTAAGTGTTACCATGTTTTAATGAAAATAGTTGGCATGATTTCCATTCAGATTTCAAGAAACTGGATTTTTCCTTAGAGCTCTTGTCTGTTGGGATGAAAAGACTGGTTCTTTCTTTCTTCACTTTGGTTTGTTTTATTACCAAAAAGGAAAAAAAAAAAGTTACCAGATTGTTCTTGGGAAAGAAAATTGCTGTAAGAGAAATTGATGATTTCTGTGACACTTTTTTTTTGAAAATTAAATCCAGTTGCTTGATCTGATGTTCTTGCAAGATTTTGAAAATATATGTATTTTTAATTAAAATGGACTTCGTGCAAGAAATTATAGAACGTTGACAAATATTGTTTCTGTTGTGTTTAAAAAAAGAAAACACACAAGCACTCATAGTGAACTTTCTTTTGTTGTGCCTGTAAATATAGTTTCCTCCTGCATAGAACTTCCTCAAACTTGGTTTGTATTGAAATTTCTTTTTGAAATGTCATTTTATGTACATCTTCGTAATTTTTAATTTTTAAACTTTCAGTTTTCAAACTGTAGAGGTCCTGCAAGTTTTGGAGTCACCCTTAGAGTTGTATTGCCTAAACTGTTCTCGTTTCCATGACCTTGGATGAGGTCATCACCTGTGACTATAGTCTTTAGATTTGCTTCTGCTTCTTTGGTAGTACCCGTAATCCATTTAGGCCTCTGTAAAATATGAGAAATTTTGTGTTTCTTGACAAAAATTATAGTAGCTGTGCTATAGGAGAGGCTTCCTGCAGGGGGTTCTGGTAGATATGTCCTTAGAGGCTCTGTGGGGCTGTAATAAGTAAGGGATGGATCTCTGAAACATCCTGCAAATGCCAGAGAAGTTCAGCTCTGGAAGAACTGTAAGGACTTTTTTGGCAGCTTTACACAGAGTAGTAATCTGAACAGTCTAAAAATCCTGCTCCATAGGAGCTGTGGAATGACTAGCAAAAAATTTGTGGTGTATAAGTTGAAGCACCTTGTATTGGAAAGGTCTATTGTGTTCACATAGTGGGGCTGATAAATAGGATTTTGGAATATCTCTTACCAGTAGTCACAGACCATCTTTAGAGAATACTGTTTTCAGATTTATTTCGTTTTTAGCTATGCTGTTCAGCTTGAAGTCAGTCTGTCTTTATAACTTCAGAACAAATAATTTCCAACCTCCTTATGGTCAGGGAAGTGGTTCGCTAAAAACATGCTGCAGTTAAATGACTCACCTTTTTTTTTTTGTGCCTATCTGCATTTCGAAGCTGATAAAATGGTCAAAGTTCAGTTTCTTAGGCTTGTGTACCTCAGTCTGTTCTGATCTTATTATGTTCAAGAGATATTTAAAATGACAATACTCTGTGCTAGGTATGTCCTCTATCCTGTGGTGATCCATTTCCTCCCATAGGTAATGTACATTGTTGCTACTCTTCTGATGAGGCCGTTGGGTCTGACTCTGTTATCTGTGATGATCTCTGTTATGTGCAATATGCAAACCAGAAATAAGGGAAGATCCTTTGGAGAGCCTGCATATGGAAAAGGCATGCTGAAATTGTCTGGAAGGATGTTAATTGTGATGGTGATTTGTGGGATGGCATCCTGTCTTTTAGGAGATAGATCAAAATCATGCACTTCTCGTCAGAGAGCTGTGGGAAACCATCATCTGGCAATAACCTTGGGCATTATTGATCTGGACATGACCTGAACTGAGGATTTAAAATGGCAAATATGTTTGTCCTTAGGTTCTTTTCATGAAATAGTATTAAATTTTTTAAAGATACTGTTCATAGTAATGAATGTGTGGAAATACACATCAGCTACAGCAGCTTCCTCTCCTGCTGAAATAAGGCAGGAAGCTTGTATTATTGATTTGCCAGTTTGGCCAAACACAGCAACTGAGTGTAAAAAGCTGAAGGGAGGGAGCTGAAATGCGGCAGAAAATAAGGCACAAAAAGGAGCAGCTCAGATTTAAGTAATGGGAATGGTGCTATGAGCAGGTGTTGGAGGTCACCTGAAATCTTTACATAATTGAGGATGGGGAGAACTGAAATTAATTTCCTGTACAGCCTCTAATCTTCCCGGGAATGGAGTTCCTTTACTGACTAATGGGAGGCAGAGATCAAGGCATTGGTAGGGCACAACTGGCAGTGTCAGATCAGATTTTCTTCAGAAGTCAGTAAATGTACACGTGCAGTGCTTCTTAAGGAGAGACAGGAATTTTTTATAAATGTTGTTGTGGCTCTATGTTGTGCAGACAGAGTGCAAAACCAAATAATTCTGTGTAAACAAAGTGGAGAGGAACGATAAACAGACTGGTTTAAATCTGAAGGCATGCTTTGTCAGGCACAAACATTTAAGTAGTGGTTTTGTAGCGCCTTTAAAAGCCTCAGATGCATGTTGTAGCTACCTAATACAGATTCCTAAATCGCTAGCTGAGAGTCAGGGAAGTGGGCACAGGTTGCTTCTGCTGAGAAGGAGCACCAAGGAGGATTGCAACCTGTTGAGCTCAGCTCATGGTTCTCAGGACCACTGAGCTCCAGCACTGTGTTCAGGATGAGCCTGAAATCCTGCAACCTGGAGGTGTGGAGTCCTCAGTGCTCTGAACAGGAGTGTAGGTGGTAGCTCTGTCCCTACCATCAGGTTTAGAATAGCTCATAGTCATGTAAGTGAGCTGCTTTGTGGGTTTTTCCTTTGCTACATTTGTATTATCTGCCTTATATAACAGAAGTGGAATTATGTCCATAGAGCAATGATAATAGAAAAAAAAGCAATTACAGGTATTAGTCATTGTTACTGTAGGCATTTAAAAGTCCATCCTGTCATGTTTCTGCTGCTAATATAGCATGACACATCAGATTCCTCATTTTCAGGTTCTTATTTTTTAAGAAGGTGGACTCTTGCAGCAGTGAGTCCTGCCTCTGGGTAGTTCTGAGAGCAGTGAGAAGGGTTTAGTTAATCCTTGTCTCTTCCAGTGCCAGAATTCTACTTTGTTCAAGATATTATGCTTTAAATTATTCTTCTTCTGGAAATGATTTTTCAGTTTTCTTATCTGACTCCTGAACTATATTACCAGGAGGTCTCTTGTACTTTTCAGACAATAACTTGACTCAGTTTCCACAAGGAAAATCACTTCTTCAGATTGATGTATGTAATTCTTTTTTTTACAATGGAAGGGTAGACTAGCAGTTGCAGATAATAATAATCTTTAATGTTTGTACCCTGTAGTGTTTGCATGAGCTGGAAAACCCACTGCTTAATTAAATTTTGAGCTAAACCCCCAATATATTAAGGCCAATAGTAAATCTAAATAAAGCAAGTAAAAGGATTTTGGCAGTTGCTGATAATGACTACTTACCAAATGGTTTTTGTGCCCTCTGAAAAAAGAAATGGATCTTGTTCTTTCTCATTGAGGAGGAAAAATATGCTTCATTTGGCCTGTTGGATTAGAGCAGGAAGGAAAAGCTCTAAAACTCATTAATGGGGAGTTAGTTTGGTTGAAAGTGTGGAATGCATTACAAATTGCTGTTGATTATTTCAGGATTCTCAGATTCGCCAGAGTACAGCTTACAGTTTACATCAGCCTCAGGGAAACAAGGAACATGGCACTGAACGGAATGGTAGTCTGTATAAGAAAAGTGATGGGTAAGTACTGCTGGAGTCTACTGGAAAAAACACTAGGTCCTAAGAACTGAAACACTGTCATACAAAATATATTTAAAACTGAGTTACCTTTTTTTTTCCCCCCTTTAAACTAGAATCAGAAAAGTGTGGCAGAAAAGGAAGTGCTCAGTTAAAAATGGTTTTCTTACAATTTCCCATGGTACAGTAAGTATTTGTTTTCAGTATTTTATGTACATGGTTGCTAATACAAAAAGGCAAGATCTACTGGTCTATATTTGTAATTTGGAATTAGCTAGATTCCTGATTCAGTGTTTTGAATATGAGTGATATTATTTTTTTAAGGCAACTTTTCAGAAATACATCAAGACATACACAGCATCTAAAAATACAGCTATTCTAATGCTTATGACTATTAATGGGAAAAAAGGGCTTTTTTAGTGACTCAGTACATGTAAATATTCATATTTTACCAGTCTATCTAAAAATATAAATTCGAACTTTTTTTTTTTTTTTCAAAGATATGGTTGGGCATTAAGCCATCTTTTAGATAGGAGTTAAACAACTTTTTATATTTGCAAGATAAACTGAGAGTAGATTTGCAAGATAAACTGAGAGTATGCTGAATCTCTCCTCTTCCCCAGATTTGCTGCTATATTGTAGTCTGTTAGGAAGGTAGCTCCTGAGAAGTAGCTGTTGGTGAAAGCCAACTCTGAAAACAACTTCTGCCAGAATGACAGGAAATAGAGACTTACGAGTCCCTCTCTTTTACTGCTACCAATATTTGAAACACATTAGGCATAAATATTTAAAGTTTGTTAAAATTCTAAAAATTTATACTTCCAGGTTTTGGACCTTTTGCACTTGGCTTTCAACTTGATTTTGCTTTCGTGTAACTTTTCTCTTTTTATACTGTTTTCTCAAAAATTTTGAGAAACTTTCTTAAGGCAAAAAATAACTCAGTGACAGTATTTCCCATTCTTGGTTTAATAAACAGTCCTGTTTTTTGATCCTGTTATAACTTTTCTGTTCTTCATCCTGTTATGCCTGTTGCTATGACTACAAGTTGACCCTGGCAGCAAAAATGAATCAATCTCTCATTTGTGCATCTAACCATAAGCTGCTGCCTTCAGAATTGATAACCAGGAGTTAAGGAGGAGTGTAAAGCCAGGCCTGCAAAGCAGAGTCATTACTATGGCTTTGGAATTGTCTTTGTCAGAGAAAAGTCTGTTAGTGTATTCTGTGCTGGTGTCTGCGAGTGCTGTGATTGCACTTGGCGCTGGACATGCTGTGCCGGTACCAGTAGGAGTGTAGCTGGGGCAGCTCAGAGCTGGCAGGGGCTACAAAATCCACTTGCGGAGCAGAATTTGAAAACTTTCACATGCGAGTACAGTTATTGAGTCTGTCAAGATACTGCTTTCTTCTCTTTTTATAAGCTGTCTACCAGATGGTCTGACATTTTTAGAAGCAGTAAGTTCCCACTGAAAACAGTGGAGCCGTAGCTGGAAATCAGTTCGTAGATAGTTTAATGTGAGTTCAGATATGTGAGTTTCACAGGTTTGGTCTTGATTTTCCTATACTACAACAGTAAAAGAGCCCCTTCTTGTTTTAAAATATACTCCTAAAAAGTATTTTTACTTCTTTACTCTCTTCCCCCTTATGTATTGATGGCAGTTTTATGTAAAACATTAATGAATATTTCGTAGACACTGAAACAAGTAGAAGTGATTTCTGTTTATTAAGAATTTTTTTAATATCTTCTGAGAATTCTGAAGGAACAACGTTGATTTCCAAGCTTTCTCAGGGTTGATATCTCCTGGTCTCTGAAATATGATATGCTGTTCTCTTGTCCCAGCAGTTCATTAAAATGAACCATCTCTCACAAATTCAGTTGACAGTTTTGTTTTCTTTATGAAATACAAATTTGTAAATGCTTTTCCTTTAAAGCCTAAGTATTCTTCATGGATTTCTCTTCTTTGGTCATGTAACCTCTCTTTGAGGGACTATTTTTTCAGTTAGTTTCTAGAACAGCTATCTTCAGGCAGTTGCAGATGCCGTATTCTGAGTTAAACTTGCCTGCCAAGTGCTCTCCTGACGCATGGAGAGAATATGGTTGGTTCTCTGTCAGTCACCCAGCTGTGGTACAGAATGTACCTGCCTGCATTGCAGAAGTTATACTTTTAGACAGCTAAAAGCTTCAAACAAATTAGCATTCATAGGGCAATGTGCAAGGTAATGGCTGATGGAAAAACAGACACTGGTCGTTTGTGTAATATTAGTAGTTGGAAATTTCCTGACATCTACCTGACTGCAATTTAACGTACATGGATGAAGAAACAATGAGAGAAGCAGATTGAACCATGTAATTAGGAATTCCTAAGTGCTTTTCAAATCAAGAAGTCACAAGGAAGAAACTTAGATTTCAGAAATGTCAGATTCCTCCAAGTTGATTTGTGTTTAAAGAACTTAAACGAAATTTGCTGGTTGTCTGCAAAAAAAGGAATATAAGATAGCCTTATTGTTGAGGAATCTTTCTTTGTTGTTCTTTCTTTACTACTGGGAAGTTTAACCTACCATGATGATTAACAGGACAATCTGAAGACAAAACAATCAGATTTAATATTTTTATTTTGAAGTTAATCACTGTGATATCCAGAAAAATATGCATGATGAAATCAGCCAACCAGTCTGTTAAGTGGACACATTAGCTTGTGCCTTTTGTAAAAGTCAGCTCTGTATCATGGCACTCCTGTACTGTTTCAGATTCCTAACGTTTTGATTCCTACACTTACTGTTTGTTGCTGGAACAGATCCAGTCAGTCTTACTGGATAGGGGATTACCATTTCTTCAGGAAGTAGCATGAGTTGATGCTTACGTCTGTGTATGGCATGATAAGAGCAGCACATCTTTTGAAGATTGTTAGCATGGTTGTTAACAAGGTGTCCAGAAATTCAGCAGTTTTCTGAGCAGAGACTTGAGCAGGAAAACGAAGCTCAGAGGATTCAAAGAAATAGCATAATAGCAGTTACATGTTTGTTATCATTTTCTACATCCAGTGTCTCCTAATCCTGCCAGATGTCCAGATCCATCTACAGTAGCTTTGTGTGGCTAAAGAATTTGTACAGCCTTACCTCTCTTTGTCTTTTACCTCCAACTTCTCCCCAAGCACCATCTGCCATGTGATGTATACATGTTGTCCACCAAGTAACAGGCGAGTGTCAGGGTGGTGGGTGGGGATAGACTGTTATTTGCTGCAGGGTAGAAGCATGAATGAGGTGGTATCAACCACATGCTAAGGGTTTTTAATACCCTTGTTAATGCTGATTTCAGGTTAGGAGATCCTCAGATAAAAGCTTTAGAATATGTATGTAGAATATGTGTGGCCCAGGATGTGTTCCAGGTTGTTGCAGCCATTTCTTCAGGTTCTCAGATCCCGATACAGAATTATTTATGCTGCGTTCTCTTGTCCAGAGAGACGGGTTCTGTGTGCATTGGTCTTGCAGACCTCTCTGAAGTATTTTAATGCATTCATTTACAGCTTCATATTTCATAAGTTATAGAAAACTAATTAGGTCCTGAATGTGCTTCAGATCCAAAGTCCCGGTGCAAGGGGGTTCTCTCTTAACCTAAATGTACGTGCATTTTTACATTCTCACAGAGGCTGTGAGAAAAGTATATATGAGTTGCCCAGTGTCTATCTAATTAATAATTTATAAATATTTGTATATAAATATATGTAGTTATATATTTATATATAATTTATAACTAAATAATTAAATCTGTATGCACTTTTACTACTAAAAGGAATGTCTGGAATTTGAAAAGCTATTTATTAGGCAGAGAATACAATGTGGTTGTCAATAAATTGTCGTCTTGCTGCCTCTGAAACCTCTCTTGGGTATAATTCATTTTACATTGACCAGCAAGTGACCTGCAGGTTTATTGTTTCAAAGCTTGCATGACTTTGTTTTGTCTACTGCTTATGCTGGGCAAAGCGTGAGCCTGCTGTTTTTCAAGGACACCATGCTTCTTTTTTTTTCAAACAGGAAAAAAAACCCATAATTGTTTGCCTTCTTATGTTTCTCTGTGGGTTTGATTTTTTTAAAACTGGTGTTCAGATAAAATGATGTTGTTCTTTTTTGGCCAGCTACATTGTTTTATCAGATTGTTTCAAGGGAATCTGTACTCTTTGGACTTGTTGTCCCTTCTTTTTTTGAATTAAATGTTTTCATCAATAAATTTAGAAAAGATTATGAGAATATCTATGTTTCTTATGATTCATTGCAAGTTAATTACGTTATGTGATAGTTCAGCTTCATTTGATAATGTGTTTATGAATATTGCTATCTTTATGATAGTACTTTCCTTATGGTTTAAATGACTGTTTTTCAGATATTATTGCCTAGAGCAAAGGCTCACTAGTTAAATCTGTTTTCATGATTTAATTATTCTAAAAGAAGAGTGAAACTAGTTATCCATTGTAGGAAGTGTAAGCCATTCCTCAAGTCAAGTTTACAAACGGGTCTTTCTAGGTCCTACCCTTGGTCTGTAGAGCAGGTGGGTCAAGGGAAAGAAGAGGTTAGTGCAGAGGTGCTCTTTGAAAAGTCTTTGTAGACTTTATGAGTCTTTTTCAAAATGCAGGTTGCTTATGCAGTTTGCTGTGTTTTAGGAAAATATTGCCACTTTCTATTAAAAAAGGAACTGAAATCACTGAGAGGAACTTGACTAGAAAACATAAAATACATTTTGTTTTACTAGATTTTTTAGTAATCGACTAGCTCAGTTTAGTTTTACATATTCTTGCTTCAAGACTTCTCTGTGCAAACTTCCTATTTTCCTTCAATGTGTGCCTTTACTGATTTTAAAATTGAGCATTTTTTCTAGACTGGTTACCTAGGTCCCTTCAAAGACATTAGCAGGAGTCAAACTATTTCATTACTGAAAACTAAACAACTGAGTTTTTTAAAGTAAATGTCTGAGTGTTAAGGGATTAAATGTAGGATGAACCTGTCTCTTTTTCATGCCTGATTCCTTCAGATAAGTGTTACCGGTTAATTATAATTGAAGTGATTTTACCCCCTTCCCCTTTCAAAATTCTAGTGTCTATCCAGTTACCAGTGAATAAAATATTCAAATATAAGTAGTTTAAAAACCATGATGCAGATGAAAACATGAATCAAAACCTGGGTACCTTAAAAATTAAAGAGCCATTTGTCAAGTCTTCTTGACCAATGGGATGTTGTCCTGTGTTTTCAAACTGCAGTGCTCAGTCAGTATCACTGTACTAAAATGTGTGCGTTTTATCTTCAAATAGGCTAACCGACCTCCAGCAAAGCTCAATCTGTTAACCTGCCAAGTGAAAACAAACCCAGAGGAGAAAAAATGTTTTGACCTCATATCACGTAGGTTTGTTGTTTAGGTCTTTCTACTTGCAACTCATAGCAGAGGTTTGCATTATTTCTGTAGATGTGTCAATAATCCACTTGAACGTTTTCACAGTTGTAGAATTCTTCACTTTATAAAATGCCCTTCCTATGACACTTTGAGATTTCACTTATTTTAGCATACTGCAACTAACTGTACCTGTTTCTTTGAAAAACCGCTTGTTTTAAAAGCTATCTTAATTCCTTTTTTATATATAATTTTTGCTGTCTTACAATAGAGTGACTGTTTTTGCCATGACATCCCTCTTTATTTTGAAAATGTCATAGCTGATCATCTTCCAAAGTTATGATTTTTGCACAAGATAAAAAGATGTTTTTAAAACTTTAAAAAATTTAATTCTGGTAGTTGCAATGTAACAGTGAAGAAAATAATGAAAAAATTTTTGGTTTTGTGATCTCATTACAGATAAAAAGGTGAGATAAAGAGTCTATGTGTTAAACTCATCAAAACTGAATAATTTTGGCATCAGAATGGAGTGATACAAAATTATGTAGTAGAATGTTTCCTTTGTTTTCTCACTAGGACATTTTACTGAAATATGTATCTCAAATTATTTGGGGAGAAGAATATAAATTTATTCCTCATTTGTTCCTTTATCAATGCATAAAGTTCTTTCGCATTTGTAAATGTAAGCTGTGCTGCTTATATTAATAGACTAGAATGCATGTGTGCGATACAGTTTCTTCATTTTTGCACAAGTAACTGGGCTTCCCTGTTTACTTCTGCACTTTCTTTCTTTGTTGATGACTATGTCATGTTTTGCCCAATATCAGCTTGTCACAACGTTATCATACACTTGAAAAGGCACAACAGGCCTCTTGTCCTTCTCCAGATGAGTTTTTCTCTTCATTTTACTGTAGAGTTTAAAAATATTCCTTGTTTTTTACAGAATGCAAACTGCTGTATCATGGCAAGATAAAACCTCTTTATGTAGCACTTTCCTTTCTGTTCTTTCATAAATCCTCACTGTCTTAATATTTTCCATGTTTGAAGCTATCTTTTAATATATTTTTGCCTGAATATTTTTCAAACTTAAGAAATATTAATTTTAGAATATCTTTTTGCCAGTAGCTTTACCTCTGTTCTTCTCATTGACAATTCTAATTTTAACTCCAACTTAGTCATTAAACTGTGTCATATCTCATTTGCTTCATAGACTTAAAATGTATTATGCTTTTTTCTTTAGTAGTACACTATGATAGCAATGCTTAGAATTACAAAAGTAGTAGTAAATTGAAAATTGTGAGCTTGATTTAATTGAAACAGCTTGCAGCTTATGCTGGTTGTAGTTTGGACTTTACATCTGGCAAATTTGTTTTGCCATGTTTGTTTACTGTGGTTTTAAGAGCTCATTTGGACTCTTTAAATCTTTCTATCTTATATACACAGATAAACTCAAATATGAACTCTATGTTTTACTTGTCTCCCTCTCATCAGAACATTAGCCTTGTGATTACTAAGGTTATATCTAGAACATGGAAAATTTCCTATGCTCTCCTGCTGCTTATGCGATAGAAGCACAGCAGTGAAGAAAAAAGCTTCTGTTTAAAATGCAACAAGCCACCTTGTGTAAACATGGATCTAATCATAGATGAACTGTAGGTAATAAGAGCGAAACTTGCTAAATAGACTTTTTGTCTGTCAGCACTGCAGTGATGAGACTAGAGAGCTCAGGAATCATACATCAATTAATTTTAGATTTTTTGAAGAGATTTCTGCAAAATCAGTTTTTCAATAACTTTTTATAATCAGTATGTGAATTATTTATTGTACAGATGACAGAACATACCATTTTCAAGCAGAGGATGAACAGGAATGTCAAATGTGAGTTTCTTTGCTGATTTTATTCTTGATACTCATGTTCTGCTGAGACTTACCTTGAATTTTAGAAGTGCCAAAACATTTAATAGCAAAATATTACTACCATTTTAGATGGACATCTGTGCTACAAAACAGCAAAGAGGAAGCTTTAAATAATGCATTCAAAGGAGATGATAACACAGGAGAAAATAATATTGTCCAGGAACTGACAAAAGAAATTATATCTGAAGTCCAGAGGATGACTGGAAATGATGTTTGTTGTGACTGTGGAGCACAAGGTGACTCAATTAAGCATATTTCTAATTGGTAAAAATTCTTTGTCTCATGAGAATATTTAAGCTAATGTTTTATGCTTTCACTTTTACTCCTTATTTCACAAAAATTATACACGTAGTAGAATATGCTACAGTTTAATGGAACTACTTTAGTAAGATTGATTTGCTCTTGTCAGTGGGGAGAAAAGTTACTAAGAAGCTTATTTTTGTCCCATATATTTTGCTAATTGTAGCTTTTGGTTACATAAATAAGTGAACTTACATAAAATATGGTTTAATAATATAAGATTTAGGTAAAACTGAGCAGCCATCAGATACATGAAGCATTTTCTTAATACACCTTTTTTCTTGGGTTTTTTTGGTAATGTTTGACTAAGTGAGACAGGGAATATGTCTAAGGCTGTGCTCATTTGGAAAAGAATACACCTGCACTGACTATGGTTTGCAGTGTTGGTTTTGTTGATCAATGAATTTCTACTTTAATCCTCTTTAATTTATTTTTTAAATCCTGCTGTTTCCTGTGTTCTTTTATGTTAGAGAGGCGCTGCAGGGCTTAGGGTTTTTTGATGTGAAACTGTAGCTGAAAATATCAGATCTGATGCTGTCTGCACTTTATAAATCGATAGTTACTTCCAGCAATAGATATTGTATAAGACTATAGGAAGAGTCAATCCTGCTCTCTTAAAAGGATAAGAGTCTAAATAACAACTACCAAACCTTTGTCAAATAAATAAGTTGCTAAGCTCTCTGAAACTTTAGAAATTAATTATTTGTCTGGAAGATGAGGGAATGTTATAATAAAATTCAAAGTACCAGGAGAAAAGACAAGCAAGAGTTACCAAAGGAGAGGGATGAGCCTTAGTATTTTTGAAATAGTTGAGTGAGAATCCATTGTAGTGTGTGCTGTATGTGTACTTCAGAATCTCTTCTGCTTCACTTAGTCTGAAGTCTATACTTGAAGTACAAAAAAACGCCAACCCTGTAAGCATTGTTATTTCAGTTTAAACTGCACCTGTACTCACAGTTGAGAATGTGACACTGTTATATTAGTGGAAGAAAAGTGCAATTCCTGAAAGGTGTGTGAAGAATGACAAACTGGACTGGTTGAGTAGCTCCCTCAGAGAGCGATGTCCTTCACAAAAATAAAATAAATATTTTAATCTTCTTTTATCATTAAAAAACCCACTGTTTTTGTTTCCCAGTAAAGTAAATGTAAAGACATAAATTATAAAATATATAATTAATGTGCAAAAATCTTATTTTACTTAATAGTATGTTCAAAACTGTAAGTAAGCCAAACTGTAACCTAAAGAGATCGTGGAGAAAAAAACTCCAGGCCAGTTTAGTGTATAAGATGAGATAAAAAGAGCAGGTCATTTGATCAGGCCCTCAGCCCAGGGGAATACACACGACGTGCACCCCCAGACAGTGATTCTACAATTTTATAATATGATCTGTCCAATCCCAAAACTATTTCACTTCTGTATGCTACATTTTCTAGAGTGAAATAATCGTCTGAATAAATTTTAATTCTGTGGGTGTTTTCTGTTCCAGATCCTACCTGGCTTTCAACAAATTTGGGAATTCTAACTTGCATTGAATGCTCAGGAATCCATAGAGAACTCGGTGTTCACTATTCCAGGATGCAATCACTTACATTAGATGTGCTGGGAACATCTGAACTTTTGGTAATCAAATTGCTTTTATTAACTTGAAAATAGTACTGTCAAATACTTCTAACACAAGTATATTTTTAACACTTTACAATATGTTGTTCCACTCTTGAAAGTTGCCTCTGGATAAACATTATTTAAGAAAGCTTAATTCAAGTTTAATGGAACCTCCTGGAACATAGTGTCCTACAGTAAACTTTTTCTTATCTTAGAATTCAAGTTAGTAGAGGCTTCATATTTTTTATGTTTTCAGGTCTTTTTACCCTTGGTTGCTCTTTGTAAGAGCACAGCTGTTTGACATATAAATGTGCCTAAGATTAAAAATTGAAGGACTTGCAAATACTTATCCCATTAATTATTTAGCATTATTTTTAGAAGAGAACTTTAATCCTCAAAGAAAGAAAATTTATTCAGCTTTGCTACACAAAGAAGTTACCACTTGTCAGCTGCTCTGTGTGACAGTTCATATGTGTGTTCTTACCCAGCACAAAGTATTTGCCTTTATCATATGAACTGGTGTCTTGATGGATTATTCTGCAGTTATTGGTTCATGTACTAAATCCCAGCTGAAAATTAACATCCAAAAAGGTACCTAATCTGTTCTTTTTCACTGACATAGTAGCAGAACAAGGAATCAGAAATAAGAGATCCCAATTCTCGTTTTCCCTTGTCATCCCCTTGATGTGGCTAATATGTGTGTGGTCAGTAGCTGAACATGTTTATTAAGTGAGCTGTGGATTTATTTTTTTTTAACAGCTTGCAAAGAATATTGGTAATGCTGGGTTTAATGAGATTATGGAGTTCTGTCTGCCAGTTGATGAGACGGTCAAACCTAACCCAAGCAGTGATATGTAAGTAAAGAGCCACTACTTCTGAGAAGGGCAGATGCTTAATTTAATATTGCTAAGAGGTTGTGCCATTATGGTTTGGACTGACAGGCCATGGAAGACGTGTAATGTCTTATTTATTGTCTTAGAGCCAAGGAGGAAACCTTTTTTCTGATGCTTTGCTTGTCTGTTTTATTGAGCTTTGTCTGACTGTACCTTCCCTAGTAGTAAGGATTATTTTACCAACTCTCTGAATCATGGTTTGTGGGACAGAAACAAATTAACCATGACTTGTTGGGAACTTTAAAGACACACAAGGATAGGGATTAAAAAAACCAAAGCAATTAATTTTATCCTATTTAAACACGAAATAGAAATTGTAATAAGTTGCACATTTACTTGTAAGATACTGAACACGTAGTGTTTAGGAGCCACACCTAGGACTGAAGTCTGTAACTGTGTGGAATAAAGACAGAACATATAACTAAATTCCTCGAAAACACTGAACAGCGATGGCAGAGATACAGCAAGGACAGCTGCCTGCTTGGCTGGATACTACTCCATCATAAAAGAGCTAGTAAACAATGCAGAAGCAAATGCAGAATTGGCTTTGGATGAAGCTGATTTTACATTATGTGGACTTTTAGGCATTCTAACAAAACTAGTGTTTAACAGTGCAGTTTAAATAATTTTTGACTACTGCTATCAATAATAGTGCAGATTATTAATATTAATAATTAAAATTACTAATAATTTTACTGAATAGTAAAGCACTATAATAAGAACACTTCTAAAAATTTCTATGTAAGAATCATTTAGTTTGATACCTCTACTTATAAAATTTGGGGCTTTTTTATTGAAATGAGAATCTGAAGACAGACACTTTTTAAAAATCCAAAGGAATACTATCAAATGCTTTATGAACAAGAGCTATCCGTTGATTCAATTTGTTATTATTTGTTAGGTTCTTTTCTTTTTGCCTGTTGCCTAGTATCTAGGTGATAAGGTATGACTTTGTTAAATGTCTTCTGTGCAATATTGTGTACATCCCAAGAGCAGGTAAGGAGTTATGCCTTTGGGAGGCATGCAAACTCCTGTCCAGCTGTGATGGGGAGAGGAGTAGATATGTGTTATTGGGTATCAACAGCAAAAGTGATAACTCTTATGGATTCAGGTGTGCTAATTTTTCACCTTTTTTGGAAATGTAACTAAAAGCTCCACTACATCCTCCCTTTTACGATTGCGGTGAAAACTTGCTTTAAAGGATGTACTTTCACTACTGCGAATTCAAATTCAAGGCCTGGATAGTCTGTGCAGGGGTATAAGAAAGATTTTTTTTTTTTTTTTTTTTTTTTCTATCCCATGCCTTCCATCTCTTTCCAGCATGTGTACAGCAGTACAAGTCAGGTAAACATAAACCTGCAAGACAACATAAAACCAGCATTATGAAGATCTGATGTATCTTCTGTACATAGAGCTGGGTAGTCTTGACCTCAACTACATCCCAGAGTTTGGAAGGCAAAATTCATGGTCTGTCTTTGTATTGGATATTTGAGTCATCTTCTGTAACTGTATTTCATACTTGATATATGAGACTGCATGGTTACATGAATATTTAAAAAGAAAATTATCATAATGAATGAGAACTAGTCTTTCCCAGATCTTATTTCAAATGACTTGCATGTATTTATGGAAATGCTAATGTGTATCTTCTGATGAAAGTTATAGAAGTAATTCATATTCAATTTCAGGAATGCAAGAAAAGATTATATTACTGCCAAGTATATTGAGAGAAAATATGCAAGGAAAAAGCACGCTGACAATGCAGCTAAATTGCATGCTCTTTGTGAAGCAGTCAAATCAAGAGACATTCTTGGTTTAGTTCAAGTATATGCTGATGGCGTGGATCTCACAGAAAAAATACCACTGGCCAATGGCCATGTAAGTGTTGTAAATTTTATTAGTCAAATTGTTATAAATGCAATATGCATTCATTAATTAAAAATTATTTGAAAATAACGTCTGAAACACTGTTCTAAATGCTTGTCCTTTTAATGATGTACTTTAGCAATAGCAAAAAAAGATACTAAATAGTTTAAGCTAAAATTGGTTCCAAATACTATTGTATTTTAAATGTATTAAAATGCTAAACATAAAATCATTCAATAATCTGCTAGTTTTCAACCCGTTTGTTTGCTTTAAAGGAACAGAAGGGACACAATAAGTCTTCACAGGTGTTTTTAATGGTAGCATGTCTGAATATTTTGAAATGACACATTTTAATTGATCTAATTTATGTCTTAATAGAATTTCTGCTTCTCTGTAGATCAGAAGAAATAAATGTGTTTTTCGTTTTATTCTTAGGAGCAAGATGAAACAGCACTGCACCTTGCTGTTAGGTCAGTCGATCGAACATCACTTCATATAGTTGACTTTTTAGTGCAGAACAGGTAAGTGTATGGAAACTATATATTGACATTGCTTTTATATCAAGTAATACAAATACTAAATGAATACAAATACTAAAACCGTATTTGCAAACGTGATTTTATTCTTTAAAAATCTACGAATGAAAGCAATTTAATAATATAGGGTAGGAAACTTAAGTTTAATCAGCTTTCTTCTTCTTTCTTGTTCTCCAATAGTGGCAATCTAGATAAGCAAACCTGTAAAGGTAGCACAGCCCTGCATTACTGCTGTCTAACAGACAACGTTGAGTGCCTCAAACTGCTGCTGAGAGGGAAGGCTTCTATTGAAATAGGTAAAAGGGTAATGTGTGCTTCAATTTCCTATTTGTCGCTGCTTCAGATAAGAAACAGTGAAGTCAGAATAAGTGCATTTTCTCCTCAATTGTTTATCATCAATCTGTAAACATATTCTTCATTATAAGAAGAATCAATATTCACTGTTTATTTCAAGTTTAAAATTAACTTATACATTACACTTATTTTTAAACAGATTTAGATTTTTAATTGCTGTCTTTTATGTCTAGTTATATACTGCCATTTCATGGCTATCATTCATATATATCTATGACAGATTGAATTACTACTGCTTGTCATGGTCAGAGGGTTGATATGATTTGAACCTACATAAGAAGGAAAGAGATGAGTTTTAGAGTGTTGATCTAGTACTTCACTATGTATCTGCAGGTTTGTCTTTAGTAATGGACATGTTAATAGTGACACTGCTCATCATATATTTCTTTTCTTGCTGTAATATAGCAAATGAAGCAGGAGAGACGCCACTAGATATAGCTAAACGTTTAAAACATACTCACTGTGAAGAGTTGGTGAGTATTGTCTTTCCATGTCTGCATTTATAAGCAAAATCATGTCTGAACATTTAACAGTTTACAATTGAATAATCAGTTAATATATTCTAGACACAATAATGGTATGCCAGAAATAGTTATATCCTTAGAAATAGTTATAGGCTTTTAAGAAGAAAGTTATATTTCTCTTTAAATGCATCAGAAATGCTAAAATTCTCGGGGCCAGGGGACAATTCTGTTTGAGCTATTAGTCAGAGATCCACAAGTAAGATTGCCTCAGTAAGTTTTCAGATGACACTGGTGTTGATCTGCTGGAGGGTAAGAAGGCTCTGCAGAGGGATCTGGACAGGCTGTATTTATTTGTGTTGTATTTGGTACCACAGCTTAATTCTTTAAATTTACCTGAATGCAGTAACTTTCCACATTACTGAAATCAAGATTCCTTCTATATGTGGGCTTTGTTTGTTTTTAAATATGCTGTTTAAAAATAAGTACTGCACATAACATAGGTGTCAACAGTCATCTTGTTTTTCCTTAGCTTACTCAAGCACTGTCTGGAAGATTTAATTCTCATGTTCATGTAGAATATGAGTGGCGGTTACTCCATGAAGATCTGGATGAAAGTGATGACGATGTGGATGAAAAGCTGCAGGTTTGTATCAGCATTATTTTTCTGAACACATACATGTGTAAGTATGATGCTCATAATTATTTCAGTAACGTTGTGTTTTACTATGGTGCTTTTTACTTCTGCATGACGTTTTATATTTCTATCGCAGTATTTATGTATTCCTATATATTGTATCACCATTCAGATAATAACAGCACTAATGATGACCTTTTTGAGAAAGCAGCTTGAAACTTCTAGAGGTTCCATTTTTTTCCAGCTGTAAAAATTTTTAGTAATTTACAACTAGAAATCCCTTTCTAGCATGCTCTAAATTTGTATATTTGATCTATTCTTTTCCTTCACTTCCTTCATTGTTGCCAGTTGCCTTCTGCAGTTGAGTGTCCTCTTTTTGAGTCACTGAGCTCCATCTGATATCGGAAGGTATCTGCTACTCAGCAATGAGGCTAAAGTAATGAAGATCCTACTTTGCTGCCCATTATTAATAGGTTTATGCTGCAGGGACTTCTGAAAGGAGATTAAGGAACATTAATCACAGACTGTAGTCTGTGACTACGTTGAATGCATGGGTGAATACTGCTGTTGCTTAGGATCACATTAGAGTTTTGTTTATAACTGTCAAGCTGTTGGGCTTGTCTTGCTGGTAAAGCAATTGAATAGATTTTGTAATGTTTGCCAGAAAAGATCCTGTCTGAAATTTGAGTTCTTTTAGTCCAGAGTATTTAATATAAAAGAGAGTCTAACCCAAAAGAAGGTTAAGACAATTCAACTGGTTTCTGCTGCTACTGCACAACCTGGCTGCCTGGTCCTACCTCAGTTTTGCCTCCATTGTGACACTTTTGTCCCTGTATTGAACTGCTTCAGTTTGGTGAACCAGTGAAAAGCTGAATCAACAATGCAAAACCAGAATTTTCTAATGGTTTAGAAAGCAGAAGTGTGGGCTTAAACAAGGACAGGGCAGTGGAGAGATCAGGGAATGGAGAGTGTCAACCAGTGAGTGAGGCTGCTAAACCAAAGTAAGGGTAGGGATTAATGTGTCTGGCTGTCACGTACAGCATTCTGATAAATCTTTGCACTATAATGCTGTGCTATAGCATGTCTAAAGGCGCCACGTGATCAATCCAGAGTAAGCATTGAATATATTCAGAGGAAAATTGATTGCTTGTTAGTGATACTCTTGGTGTAAATCTATTCTGCCTAAATGCTATTACTGTAAATGGTTATTTTAATTTCATACAGGCAGCATGTCAGCGATGTGTTTATCTAGTACTGTTTCTGAAAGAACATTTATGTTCTCTGGGCTGTGGATTGTTACAGCCCTTTCCTGTAGTAGCCACATGAATTTGTAACTGCAGTTATTTTAATTGTGATTTGATAGCAATAATTACTTTGCTTGCTCTTGAAACAGGAAGAATAATGCTAAGTGCAGATGATTGCTGTAAATCTCAAAGACAACTAATTAGATCTCCTTTAATAATGTACATGGGATGAGCAACGTTCCATCCAAGCTGCCAATTGAAGTAATCTCCTGAACTTGTCCAGCAATACTAGTGAGCTGAAAAGAGTTCCTGAGAACTTTTTGCTCCTAATTTGCTCTAGGCTGAGCTACAGGTAGAATACCTGGATGCAGTTGAGTCTGGGTTTTGAGATCATGATCATCTATTTGGGTTTTAGCACTGCTGAATTTCAGATGAAGCTTAGGATCTTCAGTTGTTTATTTAGTTTTGAAAATATTGCCAGGCATTTTGATGCAGAGAATCTTTACTTGATCTGATCTGATTATCAGTATTGATTATCTATAGGAGTATAGTCCTGTGTATATAAGGATACAATATTATCCTACAGGAGTATACTAGAGGAGAAATGAGAATATATTAATTGTTTTGAAATGCAGTTCACATTTAATCTTTTTTTGTTTATGTGCACAGTTACTTTGTCTTGAAGAGGACAGAATGTAGGTTTTAGATTACGTATTAAAAGCAACAAAAATGCATTTTAGAAGCCATTTTTTCTTTATAGAAACTAATAACTTTCTATCAACAAGTAAATAAAATGAGTACAACTAATGTGGTAATTATGAGTTCTTTTGTTATTGTGTTTAAGCAACCCAGTCCCAATCGGAGAGAGGACAGGCCTGTCAGCTTCTACCAACTTGGGTCAAACCAACTTCAGCCTAATGTAGCATCCTTGGCAAGAGATGCAGCGAACATTGCTAAGGATAAGCAAAGAGGGTTTATGCCAAGTATATTACAGAATGAAACATATGGAGCAATACTTAGTGGCAGTCCACCTCCCGTTCAGCCTGCAGTACCTGTTACAAGTAGTGCACCTCCTCTACCTCCAAGGAATATTGGCAAAGGTACTAACAGCAGAAAATACCATTGTATATTAGAGGAATGGGATCATAACTTTTTTTTTAAATGTTTATATTTTTAGGTTTTCTTTTACAGTTGTTTTGCACAGGTAAGTATTGGAACGGTTTACTGATGACTTCATTTTATATACTTGAAGTGAATTTGCTCAACCTATTCTGAGTGATTTTTAGTGTATCTACAAGAAAGTGCACAACAGTGTTTGAGAAAACAATACCCAAATAATCTCACTAGAGTTAAACCATTTATTAGAAGGAGGCCTGCAATTAATTTAGTTAAACAATTTTTTTGTTATATTTCATTTTTTCATACTTGAAGATGTTGTTGTCAGAGTTCAGTTTAAAGATACAATTTCAATAGCATTTGTCTGCTGTGAAAATTTGTTTAAGACCTCGAAGAATGAAAAATGTGTGCAGAACATGAGATTATAACATTGCAAAGTCTTCTCTTAATATATGCTTCAAGGTTGTTGAAATAAAGGTATAAGTGTCATGATGTGGAGACAACCCTAATTGGATAGCTGAAAATACAACTACCAATTACTAGTTAGATCATTAGAACAATGTAAAATGTATGTGTCTTGTCCTGATTCAGAAGGGTTGTGTGCTTGCAAAATCTACCATTAAAGCTGATGCTGTGAATTTCATTCTTATCTTCATATGTAATCTGTTTGACCATAGTAAAGAAGCATAGAGAAATGTGTATAGGTCCCCTTTGTACAGGTCATGTTCGGTGTTCCATTGTTTTAATACCTTTATTAATCCACCAGCTTTCATAGATGCTAAATTTATGTAAAGTTCAAATAAAGAAAAATTACCATTAAACACATGGTTTTCTATGGTGCTGTAAATCAGAATCCATAAAAGGAGATATGATCAGGGAATGTTCCAGGCACACATGGGTTTCTGCCTTTGGGAGCACTGTGCAGAAGTCAGAATGCAAGTCTCCGTGTACCAGTGATTGTGTTTAAGATGGCAGATTGTAGTGTAGTATGAAAAGTCAGTTACTGCTCTCACAGGAATGGCTTCAGCACAGAAGTTGGGTTAAAATATATTATTTTGGGAGTAGAAAAACTGAGAACAACAGAACAGCATGGCTTACTTTAAAAGGATAGCATGAGACTGGGGGAAGTTTAGTAGCATATAAAACTTAACCAAGGTGGGATTCCTTTCCTCTAGCACTTTCATATGAACTCTAAACTTAATATCTCAATAATGTTTTTTTATTTGATGGAAAGCAATGTTTCCCCCACCAAACAGGAAAATTGACAGAAGGAGCTGTTAAACAAACACTTTGTTTAACTGTTAGAGTCTATCTCTGAATTAGTAATACAATTGCATAGTTAAAAAGACTTTTACCTTTTGATATTATTTTAATCATGGCTAACCATACTATTTTACCAACTGTTTGCCCTTGATTAAATGGCACTTTTCAAATAGTGTCATTTTAATTTCATTCCCAACCCCAGACTTCTTGGCACCGCTATAATACAACTCATGCCAGGAAGACATGCTGCCTGCCTGAGATTATTAACTCATGTTCTTTACTCTAGCAATGTATTAGCCTGTTAATTTATATTCTTAGTTAAAAGCTATATTTGTATCATCAATCTTAGCTTGTTGTTGATTGCTGGTGTTGTTGATGTTATACTTATGGTGTATTATTACTCCTTTATCCTCATAGCTTTAGGCAGTTCTCCAAGTCTTCTGAGCCTTTTATGCTTTTCCCTGCAACCTAATATTTATTCATACCTTACTCTGTTTCATCTTTTCTTAATATGATGCTCATGTGCAGAGTAGGGAGAAGTGGCATAATATGTGCAAAATATTGGCCTTTATGTGCAAAATATTGGCCTTATGAAGAAAACCTGTAGCGTGTTTTTATGAAATGAGGAGGCAGCTCTTCAGCCTAAGAATGGAGTCATTATGAAGGCCCTGAAGAAGTCATACTTTGTAACTGTTTCACAACTAGTTACTATAGCTTCTTGCTTGGGTGAAATTCAGAATTACAGTTTTACGTTGTCTCCAAGTCAAAACTGATGTTTCGCTTTGAGTGAGCAATGTGTACTAATGCTTGTGCGAGCATGAGGTCCTTTTCTTGCAGTACCTGAGAAAATAACAGTCATCAGTCAGAGATTAAAGAAGGTAGCAAGACTTGCCTTGTGTCTTCTTGTTGAGAAACCTCTGCTTTTTTAAAGTGTTGACATATTCTAAAATAATGACTGGAGACAAATTTCACTTAGGTAAAATATTAGAAGTTTCTGGTTGAAGTCTTGCTGAGTAATTTTTACACCAGACTGATTTCTGCTCTGGCTTTCCAGCAGGATGTAGTGGTTCCTATTGCTGATTATAGTGGTCTGGCTGCACCATTTCTAAAAGCACGGGTGTGAATATTAACACTTTGTGCTTAGGGTAAGCAATAATAATAATACAGTATTTTCCTCTCTTTTTAGTTCAGCCTTCAGTTCTTGGCAGTGGTATTCAGACAATTTCTTCATCTAATGCAATGTGGAAGACAAATTCTTTAGGAGTGGAAAGTATAAGCAGGCAGAGGTCTTCATCTGATCCACCAGCTATTCATCCCCCTGTGCCGCCATTGCGTGTAACATCTACAAGTATGTTTCCACTTTCCCCTGTTTTCCCTTCTGCTGTATCTAATCATAGTTGGCTTATTTTTCCATTTCCACAACTCATACTTCCTCTTTTGGTGACTGTAGCTTTGGCCTGTCATTCCCATCCAGTAACAAACTGTCTTCTCTGATGTTCCAGTGAGGACTGTATGGTGTAGTGCAGGGTCAGCAGGAAATACCATCTATTACTAGATCTAAAGAACTCATCACTTTATAGTTTCAATGCTGCATTTCTCACTAGTTGTAAAGGTGAGTGTTACATGTAGGCCTGGGGCTGTGTCTCCACGTTGTGCTCGATTCTTGCAGACTGTTGGAGTGCAAAAAGTTGTTTTAATGCACTGCCAGCTGCTGTTGTGGTGGTTTCAATGGAAATTTTAATTAATTGCTAAACCTAATGTGAAGTTAGTTGTTAACAGGATTTTAAGCAAAGATGTTCCCCTAAATAAAATTTCTCTGATATTATTCATTCAGTTACTTTTCCACAAAACACAAACTGAAGGCCTTGACTGAGCAAATAATATTAGCACTTTAAATATATTCTGATCTGCTGTTTTCAAGAATATGACTGACTTTGGTAAGAATTTTCTTTGCTTGTTCTTTAATGGTGAATGAATTTAAGTTCTTGTGAGCTCTCTGACCTTGACTAGGTGAAAAAAAAGGTAAACCTCTTTCCAAAGAGGTCCTCCTTCCAATGGAAGGATTGCATTCTGTTAAAGGTATTGATTGCATGTAGTAAGGCATTTTTCTTAGATGGGGGTAAGTCCTGGAACAGGGAGAACCTATGATGAGAACCCAAGAAACAAAATGAGAAACAAAATGGTAAATAGAAGTTTAATTCCATTTTGTTGTCTAACTTTCCTCTATAGATGTACTTTCTCCAGCACCACCACCTCCAGTGGCAAAGACAGCCAGCATTATAGAAGCTCTGAACCAGCAATCAAAACAGCAACCAACTCCTCCACAAACTAAGCCAACCCCACCACCATTGCCCCCACAACCTCCAAGTAGAATCTCTCAAAGAAAGCCTATTCCTGGGTAACTGATGTCCTTTTAGTATTTAATATACTTCATCATTATTAGCAACTTATCAACTTTATGATATATAGCATACAAGTAATCTATAAAGCATGCATACTTCTGCCAGTCATGTGTTCCAGAGTATGGCAATGAATAAAGGCAGACCCTAAGGAAGCAGATGACAAGGATTTCTATAGTAAAAACAAGACAGCCTAGTGATTTAAGATTGTATGACTTACAGAATATCTCCAGAATGGTTAGCTGTGATGGAAATAACAAGCCACAAAGAATAATTGATTCCTAATTCTCATCTGATAAAAAAGAAGAGATAATGGGATCTAATGTCTGATTGTGCCATTTTCCATTTTTTGCTCACATGCTTTATGTAAGTTCTGTTGCTTTCAATCTTTTCACTTGTAGAGTGAAAGTAGAGAAGTAGAGAGACCTGGAACAGAAAAAGTAATTTTTAAATTTGTAAAAAACTAAGTTAGGAGGGAGAAGTGTACTGGAAAACAGAATCATATCCAAAGCATCCTTGACAAACTGGAGTGGTAGTCAAGGGAGAAGAGGGATGTCATTCAGTAAGCAATACTTAGTAATTAAGAACAATCAACTACAGAAATGAAGCATGGAGAGCAGCAGAGTATGGGTAAGCAAAAGTCCTTAGAAGAAGGATCTATAAGGACACAGTGAATCATAAATAAAAGCAGGTCAGACAACTTGTGCTGTTGTGGAAGAATTAAAAGAGAAATGGTATTGCTTCACTATAGCCTGAAAACTATAGGAATTAATCCTCCCGATTGACTCAACTTCAGTAGTGCCTCAGTGGGACTGCTGTGTTCAGTTTGGGGCATTACAGCAAAAGAAAGATACAGAATAGTGAGGCGGAAACCAGGGGAGGTCAATAAGGTAATGAGAAGTCTAGAAAATAGGATCTTTGAGAAAAGTTTGGAAGAAATAATGTTTCATTCACAAAATGGGACTGAAAGACGTAAGCAGTCTTGAGCCTTTAAGTTCCTTTTCTAGCCCTTTTATTGCATATGCCATACCAAGTAGAAGGAAGACACAACTTCTTGAGGCTTGCTATAATGCACGGGCTAACATGGATACATAATTTTAACCAAAAACAAATTGAAAAATAGTGAAAGGAACTTCAGAACTTGGGGAAAAACACAAATTGCATTAATTGCACCTATATTATTCTTCTCCCTTTTTTAAATTAAGTGCAACTTTCAATTGGCGTAATCAAAAACACAGAAGAAAAGTAGTATTTTTAAAAGCAAAATAGCTGTCACCAGAATATACTGAAGACATGCCAAGACTTTTATAATTTGGAAAGAACTTTGTATTGTTGCATTTCAAGTTCTTGTTTGTTTCTGAAATAGATCGATTTCTCACTTTCTGCACAGGACTGAGAAGTCATCTGGCTTAACTAACAAAGGGCAGACCAGAGGACCTGGGTCTCTACAACAACCCGGTAATTGTGGTTTAGAAATTAGTTCTATTGTAATTAAGCTATCATTATAACAATCTAAAGGAGAGTGTGGGTTTGTGGTGTTTGTTTTTCTAATTTACCTTGCACGTTTAAATACAGTCAGTACCAACATTCTTCTTGATGTAGGCCCTGATGCCAAGTTCTTGATATACTAGTTCTTCTTCATGAACAGAGTTATGGGCCAGTTAATGTAAATAATGGGGCCATGTAATAAGCAGAATCACAGAATGGTTGAGGCTGGGAGGGACCTCCCTAGGTCGTCTGGTCTAACCCCTCTCCTCAAGCAGGACAGCAAGAGTGGATCACTCAGGACCATGCCCAGAGAGCTTTTGAGTGTCTCCAAGGACAGAGACTCCACAACCTCTCCAGGCAACCTGTGCCAGTACTGGGTCACTCTCACAGTAACATTATAAAAAATTTAGTTTGCTCTGTGGTTTGCATGTGTCATAAACAAGGCATCAGATACACATTTTAGAATAGAAAGATGTGTTTCTGGTTTGAAAATCTAAAGCTCATACAAGTTTCACTTTTAATTTAATTGCAAATCGATATTGCTCTTTTCATGGTAATAAAGAGTTTGTTCATTATTCATTCTGCGCTTTTCATTGTCCAAAGTAACTACTGCTTTGGGACATTACAGTAATGTGATCTCCGTAAAATCTCTACGGTAAAGTTTGTGTAGATTCTGTGGTGGTTGTAGTGGAATTTCTCCTGCCCTGTTTTCCTTCCCACTATATATTTTATGTTCATTTATTTTTACTGTGATTCTTTTTTGTTTCTTCTTGACATATCTAAGGGGAATTTGCTAATGCCTGTCATCTGTGTCAGGAGTCTCCTGTGAAGAATACAGCATCTTGATAATTATGGCCTTTAGTCAGAAAGAAGGGTTCTAACAGTACACAGTCTGTACTGAAGGAATGGGGAGATGATGTATTTGGTTTTGCCCTCATCTATTATATAGGTTTATCTTATTGGTAAGGAAAAGAATAGAAAATTCTGTTCAGTTATTTAGAAAGAACCATTAAAAATTAAATACTTATGGAATATAAAAATATTTGTGTCCTTTAAAGAATAATTCATTTGGCTTCAAATGATACCATTACTTTTTTTTTTAAGCATGCCTAATATTTACTTGGTTTACTTACCTTAGCAGGAGAGTCGTCTTCTGTATGCGACGTTCCAGGAACACAGGCTGGTTCTACAACAAATACTTTGGCACAAATCCAGCCACCAGCACCAATGCCAAGGAAATCACAAATAGTAAGTACAAAATCTGGCATTTGATTTAATTAAATCTGCATTCTATTAAACACACCGGACATGATTGTGTATCCTATTATGGAGAAAGTGTGAGAATCATGAAACATACGGAGCCTGTATCCTGTGTTTAAGTATATGTGTGACTTGTACTAAGTATTTATGAAAATTTTGTTTTCCTTGAATTTCCTCTAAGATAGTATGTGATTTTTAAATTTAAAAAACCAAACCAAACCAAAACCCAAAAAAACAAAGAGAAACCAAAGAAAAGAAGTATGGATTCCTTGTGGTGATCAAATGTGTCCAATTCACAGAATGTATGGTTTGACTTACTGAGGATAAATAAGCTTTATGAGTTAGTCATTCATAGGTGAGCTTGTTGAATGAGTCACTTGTAAGTAACACGTAGCTTCATTCTTAATCTGTAGTGAATTAAGTAATAAGGGAACTCTGGTGCTTACTTCTATAATGGAAGCAGATATACTCATAGTTGTTCATGTAGGTAGATGAAACGGCTTCAGACAAGGCTAGTAGGAGTCAAGCTCAAAAGAAAAGAAACTGATTCCTTGTGCAGTTTGTTCTCTTTGCATCTCTTTGATGTGCATTCACCTGGTGACAGGAGAGAAATCTCTTGGTAAGCACATCCCCAACAGAAAGCAGTTGAAGGGGAATGCCTGGACATATTCTGTATTTTTCTTCTCCACCTTCCCCGAACCTTATAGTGACTGTTAGAAAAGCGATTCTGGATTTCGATGGACTCTTGATCTGATGGTGTAGCCTTTTTGTGCTCCTACTTGCTATTTTCAATCTAGGACCATGAGTGGTAACACACATATTAGTGTCAGTACCTGTATTCTTATACTGGTGTAGGTAAAGGGATGTATTTCCAGATGTAGTGGAGCTGTACATTATGTGTAGTTAGCTAGGTTTTTGATCCTTGCTCTAATTTTCTGTTGCTTTCTTGTGTGATAGAGATAAAACATCTATATCCTTGATCATGGCAGTATTTCTCTGCAGTAAGCAAGTCACAATATAGAGTCCATACTTTCTGAGATGATGCATGTGACCAGGTCTGGGCTGTTTCATGCTTTACATTCTGTTTAGGAGTGTGGTTCAGTGGGTAAATAATAAACAGAGAGGTAGGACGTGTTCTTTCTGGCTCTGTGATGGTCTTATTAATGGGCTGTAATGAAAAGACCTACCTTCTTCAGTCCTGTCTCTCTCCCTTCATCCATTTTTCCTTAGCCATGTCCACTGAAATAGCAATTCCAGAACAGACTTCATTGTGTTTGTGTGCATAGCCTGACATGCTGGTCCTGAGTTCTTAGAACCCCTATTAGCTGTTTCTCATGTTGAGAAGCCTTGGAGACGTCTGCAGTTCATCTTGCATTAGTTGGGAGTACAAAATTTTCTGGTTTCTTGCCTCCCCTACTTGTTCAACCAAGTTACTGTCTGTCATGCATTAAAATAACTTTCATGTTTTAGGCCATAACAAAATTAAGTGGTCTAAGTAGTGTAAAGTGGAAAATCTATCCCTTTTGCTTACATTGTCATATTTACTTTGTGAAGCTGTTGGATCCTAATCACAGTTTCTTCCACATGTGCTGGGATTCAGGTGTGAGCAGTGGGTACACATCTGTTGGTTCTGAAACAGCTCCTTACTTGATTTTCTGTATAAATTGTTGTAGTTTCTGTATTGTTCTCTCCTCTTTATTTTTTTTATTTTATAGGACAAAATGCTTTAATTATGAGTGAATGGGCTGTTCTGACTAGTTTGTAGGGTCAGCATCTTCATTGTTTAATATTAATTACATAGTATGAAGAACAAATATGACTTTCCAGATCTCTCTAGAGCTTCAGTGGGGTGAATTTTGTGACTGAGAAAATCACCTGGGTGACTTTCTTCTGTCACAGGACAGAGAAGTAAGGGAAAACCTGGCTCAGGGAGTGTGTGCTAGTTAAGGTACTTTAGCTTAATCAATCTAGCTAAAGCACCTTATCTGAGATTTACTCAAGGGCCCCTCAGCTAAAGAGCTTTAGCTAGATCAGTCTAGCTAAAGTTCTTTGGCTAAATTGCTCCATTTAGCCTTTTACTCCAGCACTTTTTGCTAAGTCTTTACCCTGCCAGAAAATCCAGAGGACAGCCCAGATTTAGAAAATGATTGCGGAAATGTGAGTAAAGAAAAGACGAGTCTAGCTGTTTATGCACATGTAGCCAGTGGCTTATCTCCTATACAGTGCATTTACCCAATAACCTGTTTAACAGATGGAAATTCTTGATTCATCTTTTTTTTTTTTCTTTTTTTTCCCAATATGTTATTTAGATTTTTGAAATCAGACTGTAGATACATGGGAAACTTCCCTGAAAGATTTTATTCCTCTGGGAATGAGATCTGTTTTCATTTCCTTGCCTTCTAAAGAACAAGAAATACCTGTAGTTACTGCACTTTGAAGTTATCCGTTTTATCACCCTTGTACTGATGTGAAGCTTTTTCCTTTTGACTTAAAAGGTGGTTGTGGCTCAGACTGTTGCTTGTCTGAGAGGGAATGTCTCCAAAATTGCTGTGCTGCTGTGCCAGGCTGACAGTTTGCAGGGGTGCAAGAGCCTCAGGGTGTGCCTGCCCTGGGCAGGCCAGGCTTTACATTGGAATACAAATGGATACTTACAGAACAGCATAACCATCATTCTGCCTCTCTCCTTCCCCATCCACATTCCCCATTTTTTTTTTCTGCACGGTGCTCAGTTCTAACAAAGCAGCACATTAAGAGCCTGTTGGGCAGTACTGTCCACAGCAGAGCATTTTGCTGGTAGAGAATTGTGAATGGAATCTCTTCTCCCTCTACAAGCTTCCTGCTCCATGGCTGACCTAACTAGAGTGTGGGACCAGTCTCTGGGGGGCTCCAGGATGGTGATGAAACCATCTTTTCCTTATCCCATCTGCAGTTTCTGTCCCAAACACTCACTGTATTAAGAGCCATCTCTGACCTAAATGGCACTTACAGCTCTGCTCTGGCATCTTAGAGTGGAAAGGAGCAATTTTTTCTCCCTATGCCTGGGAAAAGGGTAGACTTGTGGTAGAAAGCTTACAGTCTGCTTCCAGGTCCCGTGTCTCTTCACCTGTGCTGGGTTGTTTTGCATGGAAACACTGTGTAGGCAGCATTATTGTTGGTCTGCAACAAAGGATGAGGAGACTGAAAACAAACACAGCAGGCAACTGGGTTGCACTGGGAGAGCTGTGAGATTAGGATGGTGGATTCCGTGAAACCAGAGCAAAACAATTTTGGTATCATTTAACACAGAACACAGCTAGGCTTGGAGTCCCACTGCCACACTGGAATTGCAACTCCTTACTAAACTTTCCCTTTGAAAGAGTTGCCAAACGACTCTTGTGGCTGGTAGTCTTCAGAGCACTGCTGAGAGGCAGAGGATGTTTTGGAGGGTTTGTACACTACTGAAGTGGGTTTAGCAAACTAAGAAGGGGTGTATTGGCAGGTGGCTCAGGCCTCCCCCTGATAATGCTGCTGCTGCTACCCTTGCTGCACAGAACTCAGTCCTGATCACCTCATCTTCTGAACAAAACTGTGCTCACTGCAGTGATGTAGAGCTCTGAAGACAGGTTTGGGTGAGCCAAAATGGAAGATTTCTAAGGGAAACCTGGCCCATGTTGTTGGCACAGTGGTTCCAAAATGCTTTGGCTGCTGCTAAATTCAGCCTGAAGCATGAGCACTCAGCATAAAAGATGTAGCTGAACTCTAAGCTGTGAAAAATAATGGTTGGAAGCAATTCTGAAATTTTAAATCAGCTCCAAGTCTGCTATGTCTCTTCTCTGCTGTATTATTTAAATTTATTTATTTTTTTTAATTTCAGTCAAAAACTAAACCCAAGAGAGTAAAAGCAATTTACAACTGTGTAGCAGATAACCCAGATGAGCTAACTTTTTCAGAGGGAGATATTATTGTAGTTGATGGTGAAGAAGATCAGGAGTGGTGGGTGAGTATTTTGCATTTTATGTCAACACACTTTAAAAGAAAGAAATGAAATCTAGAGGTTGACAGTGACTTCAGAAGACCACATGCTGGGTTTCGAAATAAAAAGAAATGCTTCATCTCATGGAAACCTGATTGCAGAAAGTAATTTAGTTCAAAAAAATCAAACTTCAGACAAGCTTCTAGCTTTTCTCATTCAGAAAAAAAAAATCTAATTAATAGGGTACACAATATATGGGGGATGTGGTCTGCGTGATCCAGAAAATTTTTGGGGTGGTGTCAGCAATTAAGGAATCTGCTGCTATTACAGATGCTGTATGGTGGGCCTCAGAAGGGAGCTTTGTATTCTCCTAATTCTTCAGCTGACTGAGACTGAGTCTATTTGAGCAGGGAAACCATCTCAACTATTTACATTCCAGAGTCTCATCGGCTAAAGCAAAATCTTGGAAAATTATTGTGCATGAAAACACTTGCCTTAATCTGTTAGCTAGCAAAGAACAGAGCTTCAAATTGCATCTAGATTGACAATAATGCTGTAAAAACACAAATAGATTCATGTCAAACCCAAAACTGCTGAAGTTTGATACATCCCTTTACCTTGCCATGATTAAAGAAACAACTTAAGAGAGGCTGAATATGAGCTGCCAGGCATTGCAGATTGCACTGAAATGATGCAGCAGTGGAGGACTGAATTTTCCTATTCTCAAAAATACCACTAGTGCAGAAAAGACGTAGGGAGAGGCTTGTTGTACTACAGGCAGGAAATTCACTGATATTTATTTTGATAATACTGAAATATAATTTTGAGATTTAACTTGAAAAATATCTGGACTCTTTCAGATTGGTCATATTGATGGAGATCCCAGTCGGAAAGGAGCTTTCCCTGTATCATTTGTGCACTTTATTGTTGACTAAATTGCTACTGATAAGCAAAGACATTTCTCATTTCCAGCAGTCACAGAAATAAGTTTTGTTCTATTCCATTTCACCTACCTATCTGCAGACACCTTGCCAGAGCACTGCCCAAGTTCTAGGTACTGTAGTTTACTTTTTTATTGCCATCATTCTGATTTGGGGACTTTTAAAACTTTTTTCTATGTGAAAACTTCTCATAAGCAGTTTACACTTTTAAAAAAAACTCAACTCTTCCTGTATTTTTCAAGGTGAACTGAAAAGCTTTAACAATCAAAGTCCGTGTGTCTGAATATCACAACATTATGAATGTTCTTATCAATCAGTTACTGTAATTTTATTCTACCTTTTGTAACATGACAGTACTACAGTTCAGTGTTGCTTCCGCAGTCAAAGAAATTGTGTGTGCATCTAACAGGGCAGTGAATTTATCCAATTCTTCAAACACCATTTGAAGTGTTGGAACCAAAACATGCGAGCTGCTGTGTAGTTCTGAATTGGACTCATTCAGCATCTTGCTATACTGGCTGTCATCCAGGATGTCAACAGTTGCAGAAGAAATTATTTTAATCGTGTGTCTTTGGCCAGGTAAAAGTGAAAAAGTATTTCAGTTTACCACAGGAGAAACTTCTTTCTTTCAGAATGGATGTAGATATTTGCTTAAAGTTATCTGAAATCTGTTAGTCGTTGAACTTTCTAGTTCTAATTTTGTGAGCTTGAGACTGTTTCGTTTTTCTATGCTGCACGTGTGTAGAACCTGTTTTTTGAATGTTCTTTATGTATGTTTCATCCATTTTGGTCATTTAATGTGACTACTGCTGGTTAACTAAACTATGGCAATATTAATGAATTACTCCATTAACTCAAGGATTTGAAAACTGCATTTCCTGAAATGTACTTAACTATGATGATGGATTGCAGAGCATTTCTTACACTTGTCTCATTGTAGCGTTTAGACTTTGTTTTTAAATTCTTGAATTTTCCTTAAGTCATCCAGCAATGTGTTCACAGGGAGAACAGATTTGGTGGAACAATTAGGTAATTATCCTTGGTCAATAAGGTATCTGACACCTCACAAGTACACTATGTTATGTTCTGATTTATAAAATTTGTGTGCCACTACCTTGCAAATAATGATAGTTTGCAACTCACTCTGTATATATATAGTATACCCACATATATGGTAGCTACACTGTTGTTAAATTTGTTTTACTGATTCGTGAACAAAGGCTCGGCCATGGATAGTTCCCGGTTGGTTGATGGAATATAAAACACCAATGCAAATCTGACGTCATTTTGATGTTTGTATATTGTGAAATTGTACCAGGTTTTGCTTATGCTACAGGAAACTGAGGCATAGGATACGAAAAATCAATGTCTAGGTCACATTGGCTTTGATCACGTTTCGTGAATATTGTATCTCTAGATTTATCAAGAGAACTTTGAATTTCTGGCAAATGGTGCTTAAATTGGCCCCTTCATATGCAATGGAAAACAGGCCACCACCACCATATATGCTTATTTGGAGAAAAATCACATTGCAAAGGTGCTGGAAGAGCAACACTGATCTCACCTTGTGCCACCTTTCCTGAATGGTACCGTGGCTTGATGCCTCTCAGGCGTGTGGGTACAGCCACGTAGATGTTTAACTTTCACTTCCTAGATGCTGTTGCTGCAGTATAAATGGGGAACAAACTGGAATGTTTCAAGATATTTTTATTGCAAGTCGAAGCAAATTAGTCCGTATTTTCAAAGTTCCCAGTAAAATGATAGAGTAATAGTTTAGCACTACGGTTTTATTCACTTACTGATATGTTCAGTTTGCAACACTATTTTGTATGTTTCTATCCCTGATAGAGTCTAGAGAGTAAATGGGCATATTATTTTGCACAGATCTCCTAATGTACAGTATTTTTAACACAGAATCTTATAGTGTATGTAACAATTCGTAAAGTTAAAAAATTATGCAAATTTTCCTTGAGTTCTGCTAGAAGAGGAACACAAAAATGTGGTCACTTAGAAACTAGGAAACTTTTAGACTACAACTTAATAGCACTGCCAGTGCAGACAGATAAAATCCTGAGGACCAATAAAGAGCAGCTAAGCAAAATTTATCCCTTGATTTCCCACGTTTCTCAAAGTTTTCTCCTCTGGCAGAGAAAAAAGAAATTCTAGAGCCTGTAGATATCTATTTATAATATAAAATCAAGAATTTTAAGTCCAAAATTTTGGCATATTTCATACAACTTTTCAAATCTGATTAAAATAATGACTCAAAAAACCTGTTAATAGACAGACTATTAGGTTGCTGTGTTAACTGTTTAAAAAGGAGCAAGTGACACTTAAAATGCAGCTTAGAATGCTACGAGATGTATAATATTCAATTCTGTTGTTTTTATTTTGTTTAGTTGCAGAGCAACTGTATATATTGTATAACCTAAAATCAACTCTTATTTTCAATGTCCTGGATGCAGTGATTTATAATTAGAGCATGATTAATAAATTTTACTCTTGTCAACCAGTCAAATGTCTGGAAAAATAAAACTACTTTTAAAATCTTTGTCTGCTTCTCTTCTGTTCCTTTGCATTGCTTAGGCAATACTGTTCTTTTTAATGTGTAAAAATGATAAATACTAATAACTACCACATGAGGAAAAAAAGTACATCTTGTGGACTTTAGCTGAACATAGAAACTGTGTAGACGACTCACCTATGATTAAAGGTGTAAAGCACCAGATGACTCCCTTTTACACTTTGCTTTTGTTTTGTTCTAATATCTGGGTTAAGCAGAACCCAAGCCTGTATTAATAAATTGTTTCTCAGACAAGGAGATAGAAGTAAGTGTCAGTTTTATTTTACATTTCTACAATATTGACATTAATATACAAAACACGGTTTAGGAAAAAAAAATCCTGTTAAATATAAAATTCTTGTCCTGGAACCTGAAGATGGAATAATTTCTTCAAGTCATGTTTGAGGAATGACAGAGTACCATGTGCAAGGTTGTGTGGCTCTTTGCACAGCAAGTCTCTCAGGATTGTGTGGCTGCAGCCAGACTGTGGTATCACAAAGGCCTCTTGTACTACACACGCACGTGCTGCCCAAGAAAATCAGGACTTCTCCGACATTAAAACTGAATCGAAGGCTGTAGATAACACTTTGCAAATGGCTTGTGCTTGTTCCTAAAAAACCCAAACACACGTGTTAATGCTTTCTGAAGAACTTCTCAGAACTCATCTAAAGCAGAATGTGACCTTTACCCTTCTTTTGGCAGACATGCAAAATAGAGTAGCACAAGAGAGACCTGATTGCATTTCTGTGGCCTGCACTGACACGGGGAAGCTGTTTTACACGAGCTCCTTTGAAACAAAGTTGTTGGCTGTCATCAGAGCACGGCACCAGCATTCAGAACATCACTTCTTGTGTTCCCCCAGTGCTACCAGCTAAGGGTCTGTGTCATTGGAGCATCCTGACAATGGGTTCTCCTGCTTTTAAGAAGGGATCACCTCCCTTGCTTACAAATATGACTGCATGCTCTACTACCAAAATTATTGCTTGATCCCTCCCTGCGCTGTCCCATCTTAAGAGATATTTCTCTTTGAAAATACAAGTGGAGGATTGTCCTCAGCAGCTACCATAGCACTCTTTAGATTGCAAATTTAGACTGAAAAGAGCTTTCTCAGGTGTGTACATTCACTGGCAATTTTAGGGAATGTAGGTGTTTTCCTCAAGCCTGATCAAATGCAGGGCTGTTCTCCCTCCTCAGCCAGTGCATTGATACTCTTTTTTTTTTCAATTGAGCAATCCTCCTTCTGCTAAAAGCCTTCACAAAGGCCTTAGGTTTTAGAATCTCCCTTTACAATCAAAATTAAAAACTGTAAGCATAAACTCTTACCAGACTATTGCACTGATATACCCAGAGGCTGCATTCTTCAGAGGCTGCATCTGTTGTCTTCAAAGCCAGTAAACTTTTTCCTGCTCCCAGACCATCATCATAGCAGACCATCCGTACAATTAAATAGAGAGCATGCCTGTGTAACACATCCTGAAACCATGTAGCAAATAAAAGTTACTCTGGAACAGTGCAACAGCTATTTCAGTTTTCCACCTCTTTTAATCTTTCTTACAAAAGAATACTTCAGATTTACTTACAGGAGAAAAATATTCCTTAGTAATTTTTTTTTTTAATTGAGAGTTTAAAGATTTTAAGAAGTGGCAGCTTAACACAACTAGCTTATATTTTTGCTTCTATTTTAGAATTACATTCCTATGTGGACTGTGAAGACAAGCTAAGAGAGTTTCAGTTGTTCAGCCTAGAGAAGAGAATGCTCTTGGGAAGACCTTATAGCATCTTCCAGTACCGGAAAGGGCTACAAGAAAGCTGGAGAGGGACTTTTTACGGGGCATGGAGTGACAGGACAAAAGGGAATGGCTTTAAGCTGAAAGAGAGTAGGTTTAGATTGAACTGGCACAGGTTGCTGAGAGAAGTGGTGGATACCCTATCCCCGAGTGTTCAAAGTCAGGTTGGATAGGGCTTTGAGCAGCCTGGTTTAGTGGGAGGTGTCCTTGCCCATGGCAGGGAGTTGGAACTACATGATCTTAAAGACCCCTTCCAACCTGAACCATCCTATGATTCTATGACTACGTTCCTGTCCATACTATGAAAGCACACATTCACTTCCCACCTACCCTCATTAGCCCTCTGGGACAGGTGGGACACTGTGCCTCTGGCACAGATGTAAATTAAAACAACTTCTTACTTTTCCAGTATTTCTCCAGACAATCCCTTGTCTCAGTTCCGTACACACAAGAAACTTTTCCCAGAAGAGGGTATAGACAAGGTCACTTGCTTTGGGAGGTAGGAGCCATGTGGCTGTAGCCAGGCTGTTTGTGGCCTGAGCCACAGGGTATGTCCTGATTGTTCCACAGACCTTGTCTGGGACAATTCCACTCTCCACCACAGCTGCAGGGTTTCACTACAGTCCCAACACTTCTTATTTTGGCCCTTCCAAAAAAGGGGTTGGTTTAAGTCATCCAGCACAAGGTCTCTGCAGACCTACCCTACACAAAGCCTTTCTTCTCCAGCCATCCTACCCTCCGATCATACTCATCTGGTTTATTCCAGTCGTACCATCTCCAGGGCCTTAGGAATTCAAGACAGCTCTGTTTCCATGTTCAAGGCATTGGACACCTTGGCCCTGTCAGTAGCTGAAGGGT